GCTGCTGCTGCTAGTCGACAACAGCAACATGGTTAGTGCAACAAGCACACACACATACGCGCGCGGATTGGCAAAGCGATTATAGATTAGCAACATTCAAACTTGCACTTGGGTCAATTTAAATTTGTGCAACAGTTGCAACAGGCACGGAAACAGCAACAGCAGCAGCAGCAGCAGCAACACACAAGATAGTGGGAGCAACAGCAGCTGAAACTGTAGATCGCAATTGATCAGCCGAATGCGAGCGTGTATGTGTGTGTGTGTTGCTAACAGACGACAACTGTTGCTGCTGCTGCTGCTGCTGCTTCGGCTGCTGCTGATCAAGCGATCATGCGCTGGCAACAGCAACAATCGACGCTGAGCGTGCTCACACGAAATTTTCAAGTACTGCGACAATTTCTTAACCCAAAACCCTGCAGCCCCCGCTAGCCCCTACAGTCTTATCAGCATGCCGTGCCGCACTGGCAACAGCAGCAGCAGCAGCAGCAGCAGCAGCAGCAGCAACAACAACAGCTGCAACAGCAACACATCTCAACAGTTGCATCAATTGCTCAACATTGAACTCTGTGCACAGGCCCAGACAAACATTTACCCCGTCCCTTGCCGCGCCCCTGTCGCATCATTTGCACGTTTTTTAATTAAGACATCAAAAAGAGTTTGGAGACTCGCTTGATTTCGAGGAATTGCCTGCCGTCCTCCAGTTCCGTTTCGCGTCTGCCCTGCCAAAGCAGACACAGACTTTGTGTTTTTGTAGCTTCTATAGATTGCAGATTGGAGTACATGGTTAGCCTCCGCCCCCTCGCTGAACCAGTCGTCGATGCTTTGTATGCCCATTCGCCTGGTGACATCTACGTGAAGCTGCGCTACGTGCGCTAAATTAGTCGCCAGCTCTGAACTTTAGAGGCTAGGTCGAAATCTGTATCGCAGTTCGCGTTCGAAGTGGCAGTGAGACGAGCTTCATATTATTCATCGAGGCAAGTAACTAATGCGAAGTGATCTGCTGTACTTTAAAGCAAGTAGACTTGACTTTGTGTATGGTCAAAGAGCTGAAGAGGAGAAGCAGAAAGGTTTAGGACTAGGTCATTCTTACACATAAATAAATAAATTAAATATTTTATTATTATTTAAAAAGAGTGTTTTAAACAGCTAAACATTGCTCAAAGCTAAGTAACTTGATCAAGGTTTAAACTCTACAATGCTTAATTAAGATAGATTTGTAGATTGAAAAAAGTATAATTAAATTTAAAATTACGACATCAATGAATACTTTACAGAAATATTTATAATCCATCAGCAATTACCATTGCACACATTTAGAAAGTCCTTTTTCTATTCATCGAAATTATACGAACTATGTTAAGTTCGAAATATAAAGCAAATACAATTTATTTGTGTCTCAAGCGAAATGTAATAAGGCTATAAAACGTAGAGCGAAAAACTGTGAAACTAAATTGCTTATCGCAGTGATCAAAGAATTTCACTGGACCGCCGTTTCCCATAGCGCTAAGGAGGTGCTGAATAAGAGAAGATGAAGAAGAAGCAGGAAAAAAAGCTCAACGCAAACTGCGAGTAAATCACGAATAGCTCCGCGAAGCCCCCAAGATATGAGAATGTTGATTATTTGCACGGGTTAACGCTCAAGATGCAACTCTTGCAAATGCAATAGTCGACTGCAAGATACCCTGCCTAAAGAAAAGTATGTGCTTTGCATGACTAAGAAGCTTTATGAAAAGTTAAAAATGTGAATTTTTTTTGTATAAATTGTGGAAAGTGCATGAAAGTTTAACAAACTCTACAGAAAGATTATTATTTATCAGTTTATCTACAAGGCACAATATCGAGTATGCGAAATTATATTTAGAAGTTGAGAGATGAGGGATAAACATGATCACTAACTTAGTCACTGATCTCCACACAAGTTGCTGCATAATTTATAGTTTCACTGATTAGATCTGCCACTTGTTGCACTCATCCATGCCTTCGCAAAGACTACAGGGTATTAGCAATGAACTTGCAGCCAAAGTGTGAAATGAAATGTTGCCCGCAACGCGATTCTCTTTGCCTTTTTTCGCGAGTTGGCGAATTGCTGAATTTAGCGCGCTCTCTGCATTTGTTTTTGCTGGCTTTTGTTGTTGATTAATAACAATTGATAAAAAGCTGGCCCCCGAAGGCTGGCGAACCTGTGCCCAAGTGGAGTCCCATTGCTGCTGCTGCCGCTGCTGATGGCGTTGATTGCCACAAGGTGGCAACATTTTCGCGCGAAAATGAAGATTTTCGTTATCAGGCAGCAGCGCTCTGACTCCACTGCGCTCTCGTCGCTCTGGCTGCGATTGGCCAACTCACGTTTTTCAATTTGTTTCCGCTGGGAAAATTTGTTTAATTATAAGCAACTAAAATAGTTGCTCCTGCTGCGGCTTCCACTCCCACGCCCCATGCAAAGCGAGCCGGCTCTTAGCACGCCCCCCCAACCAACATTACGCATACGCCCCGTGCAACCGTGGCAAGTACAGCCCAGACTTGAGCCGACCAGACCAACTGGCGGCGACCGTAGCTGCACAGTCTTGCGTCTGCTTCGCCACACAACAATCAAGATTCCAAGACGCAGCTTGAAGCTGCGTAGCTGCATTTGCTGGCTTAGATACCCTGTAAATCTGAGCATATGTAGAAGTTGATATATATTACTTGCTTAATATGCCCTGACTTTATAGCCTATAACAGAGCATGTAAAAGAGATTAATCTTAACAATTTTGAGCAAGTTTTGTGACTATCGATAGCTGATTTCCTGTTATCGATATCTATAAATATCGCTTCTAAGCGCGGGGCTAATGGATATAAACAGAAGTGCAGCATATGTTAGCCTTTTTACAGGGTATCTTTCAGCTATCTACTGCCGTTTAGAGCACTCTATCTTTAGTTTTTTTTTTTTTTTTGAGTTAACTGACCTTCGGCTCGCAACGATTAGCCGCGATGGCGGTCCGGCATTCACCAGCGACAAATGAACAAAGGGTCGCCTTGCTCTGCCCCTCAACCCTTGGAGACCCCCAACCCCTCAACCGCTGCTTTACTTACAGACTGGCCCCGGTTTAAGCCAAATTGCTCGATTGTTTATGGCTGCATACAACGCCCACCAGCAGCAGCGGCAGCAGCGACAGCGGCAACAATGCTGGCCAAGTGAGAAACCAGCAACAATAATCTGCCGGCTGATAAAATGAAGCATCCCCTTGGCCCCTGCCTCTGCCCCTGCCCCTGCCGTTGCGCTTGCCTCTGCCACAGTTTTCAAGCTGTGTGTGTGTCGCTTATCGGCGAGGATCGATCACAACTGCGACGGCAACGCCGCAGCGCAGCTGATTTAACAAATTGATAAACAATTGTTGGCGTTGGCGATGCAAGTGTGTGCGAGTGAGTGTGTGTGAGTGTGTGTGTGTGTGTGTGTAGCAAAGGTGTGCGAGGTGGCGTAACGTTACGAAATGGCTAAACAAACGATACAGCAACAACAATAAAATGACGCAGAGCAGAGCTAATCCTCAGCAGCAGCAGCCGCAGCAGCAGCAGCAGCAGCAGTTGTTGCTGGCAACAGCAACATCAGCTTTTGGGCTGCTAGCCAGGCCCATTGTTAGCTAAGCTTTGGCTTAGCCCGCACAGCCTTTGCTGCGACTGCTGCTGCTGCTGCTGCTGCTGCTGCTGCTGCTGTTGATGTTGCTGTTGCTGGCGTGTAGTTTGCGCCGTAACCGGCAAACACTTTACGTGTGCTGCTTATCGCGCACCAATCGATGGCAATAAATATCTTACAAATAAGCAGAATGCGCTGGAATGCACAGAGGACCCCAAAAGAGCTGAAGCCATCGTTGGCTTTCAATGGAGCTGAAATTCAGTTTTGTTTTTGGTTTTTGCTTCTTTTTTTCTCCAGAGTTTTTGGGTAGAGATGGCGAACGCAGATGCTGTCTGATTGTTCACGTGCAGCATTTTGTGTGAATTCGTGAAAATCGACACTGCAATTAGGGCGAAACGCGCGGTGGGCGCAACCGACGCGTCAATGCGTCCTAAGCAATCAAAAGACTGAGGCGACGAACTTGCTGCACAACAAATTACAGTTGCAGTTGCAAACAAGCTCGAAAGCTGCTGGCTGCTTGGCTGCCTGGCTGCCTCGCTGCTTGGCAACAAGTTGCGCTGACATTTCAATAGCCAACAATTGACAGGTCAACGCGCATTGGCGGCCCGCACGAGTAGCGTACAGTACGCTGCGACCAGCGGCCAGCGGCCAGCGGCCAGCTCTGTGGGCCGCTTATCGGCGCCTTCATATCTATTGCTGGCATGTTGTTGTCTGTTGACTGCAACTGCCGCGACTGCAACTGCGACTGCGACTCTTGTGCTTATCCGTCGCATCGCTGGTCGTTATAATATTTTGTGACCAAAGAAAATACAAATCAGATGTCAGCTTGGCCGCTCTAATCATCAACTGTGTGCTAACTCTCTGGCCACCATGCGCTTTTCCACTCGCCGGCTTTTCCACGTAATCCGCACAGCGTCGAGATGCGTTAGCGGGATAAACGGTCCAAATGGTCTTCGACTTCGACTGCGACTTCGACTTCGACTTCGACCGTTCGACTTGGCCGACAGCCTCGCTGCTTGGCTCGCATTCAAGTTGCGAGTCGAGTAGAGTCGATTCTCAACTGGGACAACGTCGCATTGTTTTCACAGCTGCCTGTCGCTTGGCTCTCTCTCGCATCGCTGACAATTTGTTCGATAATAATTGCTAACCTCTGGTCACATTTGACACATACATGGCATTTGCCATGGGAGCGGGCCGAAATACAATCAACTTCGCCTCGATCCCACGTTTCAACTTGCATCCAATTGCCTTGAACAGGAGATATATCAAATGGCCATGTTGGCTTGCTTTAGAAACTGTTTTTATAGTAACATATCCCAAGTCTCAAGTCTCAGCTCCTATTACTCAACTAGTCTCGTTCATATTGCAACATCTTTAACATCTTTGCAGATTCCAAAGATTTGGGCGCACACGAGCTGAGCGAGGAGAAACAACAGCAGCAGCTGGAGGAGCAGCCCGAGGACGAGCAGCTGGATCAGCAGCAGCAAGCAAGCAACGCCGCTGAACAGATCGAGGAGACTGACATGGATCAGGAAATGGTTGAGGAGGAGCAGGCAGCCGCCCAGGAGGCCAGTGCACAACAACAAAATGTGGCCGACAGCTCGACGACTCCACCACGTAGTCCCACGCCACCTGAACTCGTGCCCAAGTTGGAGCGTGCCGATTCGCCGGCAACGCCGCCTTCAGTGGCAGCCACGCCCAGTCCGCCACCAACGCCCACGCCGCCCTTGGTGCTGCCCAAGCTGCGTCTCAATGCGCTGCTCGCTTCCGATCCGGCTCTTAAGCCCGATGCCAAGGAGCTAAATTTGGAGCCACGCTTGCTCGGTCCGCCGCCGCAGCTGGCAAAGCCTGAGCAGTCGCAGCAGCAGCAGAGCTTACCGGATCCAAGCAGTCTAGTGGAGCCGCTGCTCAAGCCGGCGCGTTTTATGTGCCTGCCCTGCGGCATAGCTTTCAGCTCGCCTTCAACGCTGGAGGCGCACCAGGCCTACTACTGCTCGCATCGCAACAAGGATGCCGACGAGGAGTCGGCCACCGGCGACAAGGCAGCAGCCGCAGCTGCTGGCGGCGGCAATCCAAATGCCAGCAACAGCTCCAGCGGCGGCAGCTCCGGCTCGGAGCCACCAGCCAAGGTAGCGCGCACGGGCAAGCAGTACGCCTGCACGCAGTGTTCCTACAGCGCCGACAAGAAGGTCTCCCTCAATCGCCACATGCGCATGCATCAGACCTCGCCAGCAGCGCCCACCCTGAACAGCCTGTCCGGGTTGGCCGCCAACGGTGTGGCTGTGGCCGCCGCCGCCGCTGCCGCTGCGGCCAGCGCGCTCGAGGAGAGCTCTAGTCAAGTGAGTTGGTTGACCAGCCAGTCAACGTCTAGCCCAAATAAAACTAACTCGATTTCCATGGCACCTTCTCAGCAAATCGATCGCTACTGCAGCGACTGTGATATACGCTTCAACAACATCAAGACCTATCGCGCCCACAAGCAGCACTACTGCAGCTCCCGTCGCAGCGACGGCCAGCTGACGCCCAAGCCCGAGGCGAACAGCACTGGCAACACGGCAGGCTCTGCAGTGGGAGTTGCCGCCGCGGCGGCCAAGCACAGCGGCGCTCACAGTCCGCAGACGCGCAACAAGACGCCGACGCCTGCTATGGTCGCGGCTGCTGCTGCTGCGGCTGCCGCTGCTGCAGCGGCCGCCTCGCTGCAGGTGGCACCGCCGCAGCCCTTCCTGGCGCTGCCCACCAATCCCATCATCATAGTGCCCTGCTCGCTAATACGCGCAGCCAGCCTCATTCCAGGACCACTGTGAGTAAAGCCCACAAAAAGTTGAAAGTTAGTCCGTGGTTTTGCTGTTGGTTGGAGCCAACAGCGAACGCATCGACGTCGTTTCTGCAGCTGTTAGATTTGTGAGCTTTGCTTGACCGATTCTTGTCTTAACCTCATTTTCAGCACCACCTCCACGTCGGGTATTGTCAATCCGGAGTCCACGTGCTTCACCCTTGACAATGGAGCACTCAAGCCGCTGGCCACGGCGCTCAATATAAATGCGCTGGCAGGCAATGCCACGCCCACGCCAACGCCCACACCCATGCCTAGCAGCAATCAGCTGAGCATGCCCGCCCTGGAGCCAGAGCGGCCCAGCGCCAGCAGCGTCTTGGAGGCGGAGGTCAAGAGCAGTCCGCCAGAGCCCAAGCGCAAGGAAGCCAGCGGCGTACGGTAAGTAAAGCAGACTTAAACTCCACGTAGATCTCTACTTACGCGCTCTCCGCATTTTCTTCCATGCACAGCGATACCACGCCCCTAGACTTGTCGCTGCGTCGTTCGCCAATTTCGCCGCTGCTGCAGCGCCACCGCTTGATGGAGGAGGCGCTGCTCAGCGCCGGCAAGGAGAGCCTGGAGAGCAGCGCCAGAACTGGTGGCAGCGTTACGCCGGAACAGATTGTGTGCGCGCCCTCGCTGCCCAGCAGCCCATCGATGAGTCCCTCGCCCAAGCGACGTGCGATCAGTCCACGCAGCTCTGGGGCGGGTAGTGCTTCCTCCATGTCGCCGCCAGCCTTGGCAGTGCCCCATCTGCTGGACAACCTGCAATTGCGCTCAATGTTGCCCGCCGACTTTGCACTATCCGAATCGCTGCTGGCCAAGACCAATCCGGAGCTGGCGCTGAAGTTGGCAGCAGCCGCCGCTGCAGCTGTGGCGGGCAGCAGCCCCGCCGAGCTGGCCAGCAAACTAGGCTTCAGCCCAGCAACTGGGCCTGCACCTCCTCCGGCTGTGGCTAGCGTGGCAGCCAACGCGTCCAACAGCCAGCCGCAGATCTATGTGAAGCAGGGCGTGTCCAAGTGCAAGGAGTGCAACATAGTCTTCTGCAAGTACGAGAACTATCTGGCGCACAAGCAGCACTACTGCTCCGCGCGCAACCAGGACACAGGTGCGGATGGTGACGTCAAGAATGCAGTGACACCGCCCGCCGCACCGGGTCCAGGCGTAGCCGGGTCCGGTGCCTCCGCGCTGGAGACCACGCCCGTGGCCTATCAGCAGCTGATCTGCGCCGCCTGTGGCATCAAGTACACCTCGCTGGATAATCTGCGCGCACATCAAAACTACTATTGCCCCAAGGGCGGAGCGGCAGCCACGCCAGCCGAGGCAGCCACACCACAGCTGCCATTGCCCAAGGAGAAGTGCGTTAAGTGCAAGACACTGCATGAGCATGGCCAGCCCTGTGCCACGCCCCCAGCCGCGCCCCAGCTGCCGCCGGCCAGTGTGGCGAATAGCGTGAACAAGTGTCCCGTTTGCGGTGTGGTCAGCCCCACCGCTGCGCTGGCCCGCAAGCACATGGAAATGCACGGCACGGTGAAAGCATTCCGTTGCAGCATCTGCCAGTATAAGGGCAATACGCTGCGCGGCATGCGCACCCACATACGCACCCATTTCGATAAGAAGACGAGCGATGTCAACGAGGAGCACTACATGACCTGCATCTTCGAGGAGGATGCGGCAGCTGCAGCGGCACCGCTACCCCCGGCCATGGGCTTGGACCTGCCCGCCGTGACAGCGGCCCAGGAACAGCTGGAACAGCACGCGGCACAGATCTTCAACTGCGATCACTGCAACTATGCCTCCACCTACAAAGGCAATGTGGTGCGTACTCCTGACTAGCAGCAATGCTGGACTCAGCTCTAATTGTAATTGTAATCTTCTCTTCAAACAGCTGCGTCACATGAAACTGTTGCATCCACACGTGGCAATCAACTCGCCCTCCATATCACCCGAGTGCCGTGAGCAGGATTCCACAGCACATGCCCTGCCCGAGGTAGCCCTGGTAAATGGCGAGCGCGAGGCGGCCAGGTAAGCATTCTTAATGGCAGTGGCCAACTAGAAGATACCCTAACCAAGAAATAGGTTTCTTAGTTAGAGTATCTAGTGTATTTTACAATACATACAATTCCTTAACTCAAGCTAACTTATTTTTCTTCTTTAGTTTCCACATTAAGTCGGAGCCCTTGGAGCCACCTGTCGCTACATTGGGTCTGGTGCATGAGAACAACAATTCGCCCATTGGCACGCCGCACACGCACATCAAAGCCGAGCCGCTGGACATGGGCATTGAGCTAACCGCACCCACACTGCCACCGCCCATGGCGAATTCGCCGCTGGGGCCGAGCGCCGCGGAGGCCATGAAGAAATATTGTTCCACCTGCGACATATCGTTCAACTATGTGAAGACCTTTTTGGCACACAAACAGTTCTACTGCAAGAGCAAGCTACACCGACCGGAGGCCAGTGACAGCCCCAGTCCCACTGTGGGCGTTGGTGGCACCGCCATGCCACTGCAGTCGCCCAGCGAGCTGCTGTTGCTGCAAAAGAACAAGGAGAATCTTCAGGAGGCGGCCATTTGAGAGAGCCAGCTGATGTGGGAGGTGCAGCGCAAGCAACTGGAATGGTACTACAAGTGCTTCTGAGCCAACCACAAAACGCAACCACCATCACCACCACAAACATCAACCACCAACACCACAACCACCGACACAGTATCGAAAGTATTTCCGGAGAATCTCCAACTGTTCCCCCTGCGAAGATAGATAGATCCTGATTAATAATATCCAGGCAATATATAGATATACATAAAGACATATATATATATATATATATATATATATGCTCTGTAGAAATCATGACATATAATGCATGCCAAAGCTTACCACTTAGAGAAGAAATCACAATTGAAGTGCAAGAAACTACAAGTTTTTCGATATCGAAATAGATATAGTATATCTAGGGAGTATGCTCCTCGAACTACCCAAAAACCAAGTGGAAACTCTCCACGGTTGGGTTAAACGGTATATAATCCTAATAGATCCAATAATATGCATAATAATTATTGTAAATCCAACAGCGTTCAAGCTTATATAACAAATAAAACTGTGTAATTTAAATATATATACATATATATATGCATATAGGCAATGTATATATATATGTATGTGTACTGTATGTATTTATTAAGAGTGTGCGACAATAAACGTAATTAATTTATTCAAAATAAACTATACAAAATATTGCTATGACTAATTCTGTGGAATTTATAATAATTGTATTACTAAGTATTATGAAGTGTTTTAAAATGGTTTTCGATTTATATTTTATACTTTATAATCTGTTTTAAAAAATTTCAGCTATAAAGTTAGAAATATAAAAACCTATTTATTTTAACATTTATAGATATCTATATATTTTGTTAAGTCGGCAGTATTTCAGATATGTTATGCTCTTCACTTTTGAGTGATATTTTCAATATGCCCCGACCAATTAAAATTTCCGACCTACTACCAAGATCGCAGCTGAACTGGTATTTCAAAGTTATATATTCAACTGACTCACGAATATCTTGAAAAGAGCATCATTCCTTGATCTTTTATATATTAACTCATAACTCAACTCTTGGCTATCTTCGAAAATTAATATCTGAAAAAAAACAAATTTTTATTTACTTTCATCAAATCAATAATAAATTTTCAATTGTTTTAAATCAATTTTCATTTGCTGCCAAAAAATAAATTTAGTGTTGCCTACTTTCAGGGTGAGCAATAAAATTTAATGCGTTCGATCATAATTTCATAAGAATTTCCTTTAACCCCACCACCCCCGCAACTCGTTTACCCACTTTCGATCAAACACTAGCCAATTGTAGAGATGTTCTCAAATAGATTATCGGCGAGCATTAAAGGTCAAGTATATATGCCACGTTAGCAAAAGGTGACGTCAGCTTCGACTCTGTTAGCCATGCGGAGTGCAATTCGAATGATTACATAGTATTGCTATTGAAACAACGTTTGCCTATTATTACATATATCATATAAATTTATTGAAACACAATTAATGCGAAAATTACAGTGCTGTGAAATAAGGAATTCTACATGATGTAATTGTAATTGTATGTAATTCATATGCATATATATATAATTTATAATTGGTGCAAACCGAATTTTCATGGTGTTTTTGTTTTTTTTTTTTATTATTTTTAAATCAACTTAAGAGTTATTAAAATGTTTTGTAATTAGAAGAGGCATTCACGAAAATGCCTCGTTCCTAAATGTTTTTTGTTTGTGTATGTGTGTGTGTGTGTTGGATGATCACTTGACTGCCTGCCCATTATAAACGTTGATTTGTGTAAGTGTATGTGTGCTTTCTTAGAGAGTAGCGGTATTCTCTGTTGATGCCTGTTTTCTTGTTGTGGGTTACACTCTATTCGGTGGCAGCCATGGCACGCGCCTGAGCACGTACGCGTTTCTCGTATTCCAATCGATTCTGACAGTAGATGGTGTATGCCTCCGCCTGTGCTGGATCCTTGATGTTGGGCTCGTTTAGCAAATCCTGAATGCCCAAAAGAATCTGTTTGATTGTAATGGCAGGACGCCAGTCCTTCTCCTCGTCCAGCAGCGAGAGGCATACGGTGCCTGATGGATAGACATTGGGATGGAAAAGTGGCGGCTCAAATTTGCATTTCGGTGGCGAGGTTGGATAGTCATCCTTAAAGATCATGCGTAGCTTGTACAAGCCACCCTCCCAGGGGGTCGATTTCTTTCCGGGAATGGCGCACTCCCAGATCATGAGATTCAGTGTGCCATCGGGATTCTTAGCTGGCCGTGCCACAAACCCAAACGGATGATCTTTACGCCAAGCCTTACGCTCCTCGCCCAAACGTGTTATTGCAATTCCAGACATCGTGGGTTTTGCACCTACTGTTGCTTGTCGCTTTTGTAAAATCTATCGCCGTTTCTCCTTTTTGCCTCTCTGCTTCTACCTACGATGTACACGCTGCTTGCGTCTGTGCAAAAAAAATATGCTCACTATTAACGCTAAAAGATTGCAAATTATTCATTCCTAATTTGCATACATACCTTCGTATTGCCTTTGCTGTCTTAAACAGCTAAAACTACTTGCAATTTTGTGTTTTTTCTACCAAACTTGAAAATTTTTTACACAAAATTAGCGCAATTTGACGGCTTCGGCTTGCATTAGGGATGGTAGAAAATATTGATACATCGATACGTTGCACATCAAAAAAAGTGTGACCAGGCTACGAGTGAGCAAAAAAACCGGAAAATACCAGACAACAATATATAGGTTGGCTTAATCAAGTTCAGTCTCACTGATTTCTGTTTAATTATCGATATTTCTCGCAACGGAACATTTGTGTAAACGCTTGTCGATGCTGATTTGGAATATTTCAATTTATTTTATTGTTCTTATGTGTACTTAATTTTGTTACAGTTCATTTTAATAGACTTATGGACTTTTGATTTTGTTCAAATAAAAGGATTTGCAAACTATGATCTCTAAGCGTTTAAGCCTAATCGAACGCAATGGTGGTTGTGCCTTGTCAAGGAATAATCCTAAGTTCTTAACAGTCAGATCGTCTTTTTACGGTTGATAGAAATACAAAGCTTAAGAGGCTAAATAAAGAAACTCAATCACGAAATATAAAATATATGATTTGCTTATTACTTGTTACTAGTTAATAATAGAAGACTTGTAAGCGGGTTTTGTAAAGGGGAAGCGGGAGAGAGAACGGCACTTGCAATTCATTAAATGAATTATTTTGCCTTTTTGGAATCTTTCTTCTTACTGCTGCCGCTGCTGCTGCCGCTCTCATCCTTCTCTTTTTTCTCTTTCTTTTCCGGTTTCTCTTCAGGATGGTCTTCATAGCTGTGGAGGACAAACATTTAAGGTTTATTTATGGTTCTATATGGATACTAATTCATGAGGGGACTTACGCAAAGAGCACCTTCAGCTCGCCTCTAACCAGGGCCACCAGCAAAGGGGTACCCATGCATGCGGGCACTAAATAGAGAAGCGCTGGCTGTGCATGCTTGAAGACGTGCATCACAAAGATCGTAGCCATGAGACCCATGAAGTATGCAGCTAACGTGGAATAGAAATAGATGCGCGTCTTACGCTTTTTGCTGTCATCGAATCGAAGCAGCAGGGCAATAAAGATACCCGGAATGACAATATCACCCAGACCCAGCATGGCAAAGTTCGAGGCAGTAAACCCATTTTCAAGAATGTCCTGTGGGAAAACTAGCTTGATAGGCGCCTCAAAGCTCTTGGCAACTGTGACCATGACATTGGTACCAAACACCCAGAAGATGTCGTAGAAGAACAGTCCACTTAACAATATAACGCCCGTGACAAAGTTATTCAAATGCAACATCTCGACGCCGTTAATGGCGAAGGCCAGACCGAACATATTGTTGGCTATCCAGTGTTTCTTCAGTAGATACCAGACCCCAATGACCGAAGAGATGATTAGGCAGACGATGTCGTGCGTGGAGAACTTGTAGTTGATGATATCCTCTTTGTGTTTGCCTTCGCCCTTTGTGAAGTGTATGTGGAATGGTACTTTTGGTACAGCGGCTGGCATTAGCGAGTTGATAACTGGACTGAGCAGGTGGGCCAACGCAATAACTCCCAGCACAAAGAAGTAGCCGGTTAGCAACAAGTTGATGTGGACCTTCTGAAAGATCTGGAAGAACATGTACAGCCCAAACAGCGCCACTGACGCGATGAGTGGAAAGTACATGGCATCCTTCTTGGTCATTGTGTCTGCCTTCTCGCCCGTCGACTATGAAACGTGAAAATTAAGTAGAGAGTGAAAGCATGCAGCAAAAAAGGGCGGTTAACAGTTCAATCACACACCTTTTTCAGTTTGTGCAGCTTAACGGAGCGTATGGAGCCAAAAATAATGGGCAGCATGGCCATTATGACCAGGCTGCCATACGCCACGGCGATACCTTCCGGCGTCGATGGCTTCTTTTCGTTTGTAATTGTTTCATTTTTATTAGCACTTGCATTCGAATTAACATTCTCCAGTATGCCTTTAATTGCATTTTTCACTGTGCCAATGACTTCCTCCGCCATGTCTACTATTATGTTGACTTTATATCAGCTAAGTTTAACTTTATATTTTCGTTGCCGTTGACGATTTCTATTGAAAATCGTTTCGGCTCGCGATTAGAGGGTAACAATTGTGACACGCAGCCACACAACAACTACAACAACAATAACTGCAAACGACGCACACGTCAACGCTAGGGATGGTCGATAGCATGATAACTTATCGATTTAAACAGCAAGGGGTAAAAAAGAGCACGGTAGCATATATTTAGGTTAAAATTAACTGTATGTTTATATTATATTTTAATATTTGTATATTTTTTGTATAATAATATATTATTTGTATAATAATATACTCAAGTACTACAATTCTGCTGAGCCAACTCACTTAAAGAAGTATTTAGAAAATTATAAATTGTAAACGTTAACATATATGTGTTACGCTCAAAATGGCACTGTCAGAATTATCAGCTGTTAAATCTAATAAGCCGTTATTACCTAAACTTTAATTTTGAAATGGTTAGTTGCCAAATAATTTTGTGTGGGCGGGTCCATTATCCACTGTACGTACTCCTACTGCTACTTACAGACGACTGCATAAGTCAGCGCTGGTATTATCTTGAATAATTCTCGGTGGCAGTTACGCCGCTAGCTTTATCAGAGGCTGCAGCCATGTGCGAAACCCTCTGGTGGCTTTCGATTTAACGCTCAGTCGTTATCCAGAGACCGATGAGCTCACATTAAAATTAGAATAAGTAAATTGTTGATCCACAAAAAAACAAAAAAGCAAAAAACAGGCACATTGTGAACTTGAGGAACAATGTCGACCAAGATAAAAACGTTGATTTCCGGTCGTAGGCTGCTGTTGTTGATGTTGGTGTGCCTGCTCGTTTCCGTGCCAAGCGCCAGTTGTAAGTGCAATAAATATAAATACTTCACACATTTATCTATGTCCCACATCTGATCAGGCAAACCGGAAAACATAGATGCTCCTGATACGAAGTCGGCCAATGTGAGCACCCTAGATCGGCTACAAATGAATCTCTTCGTTAACTACGATGTAAACGTTCAGCCCACTATTCAAGGCAAAGCGGCAAACGTAAGCCTTGGTCTATCGGTGAACTATATAGATATCGATGAGCTGAACGGCAAGATCACACTCCATTGTTGGCTGAACGTGGTAAGTGTAGATTGTAACAAAGGCACGCTTAGTCAGTCAATAAATCCATGTTGATAACAACCATTACAGCAATGGGTCGATGAGCAACGTTCATGGAATATAAAGCAGTATGACAACATTACCAAGTTGCATATACCAGACAGCAAAGTGTGGAAGCCACAGATTATGATCTTCAATGCCGCTGCCGATGAGGGCAACTATCCTGTGAGCACACAGGTGATACTCTCCAATGATGGCAGCTTCCAGTGGGTGCCACCAGCTGTCTATACGGCCTATTGCGCTCTGAACATGCTCAACTGGCCGTACGATCAACAGATATGCAAGCTTAAAATTGGCACCTGGTCGGTGAGCAATCTCAATGCGGCCTACAGCAAGGCGATCAATTATGATGATCGGGTGCAATCGAGCGAGTGGGAAATTGTCAGCGGCCGAACACGGTTTGTGCACCAGGACTATTATAGCTATGTTGAATTTATATTTACAACTCAGCGCCGCTCCACCATGTATACAGCGGTTATCTTTACGCCAGCCTCTTGCATAGTGCTCTTGGCGCTGGCCACTTTCTGGCTGCCACCGAAGATGGGCGAGAAAATACTGCTCAATGGCATACTCATCCTAATGATTGCTGCGTTTCTCATGTACTTTGCCCAGCTGCTGCCCGTGCTAGGCGGGAATACGCCGCTCGTTGGTAAACTGAACAACTCCATTTCGTATTTATTTGCTTAACCTATTCTGCTTTGCAGTTGTCTTCTATAGCTCCAGCTTGTTGCTGATCAGCATATCCACGATTATAGAGGTTGTAGTGCTCTACCTGGCCACGGCACAGCATAAGCGTCGCGTGCCGGACCTAGTGAAGCGTCTGTTGAATGGCAAACTGGGCACTTGTCTACTGCTCTCGCACTTTACCAATGAGGCTGAGCAGCCTGCAAGGCAAAGCAATGGCGTACCCAAGGAGATGGATGAGAATTTGTACGATAGTGTGGACGATGTGACCAATCCGTTGGACATCAATCCTACTGGGGTGCCCTCAGCGCGTGCCCTACAATTCGACTGGATGCTGTTGGCCACGGCCGTCGATCGCATTTGTTTCATTTGCTTTAGCCTGGTCTTCATAGCGTTGAGCATTGTTTACGCTATCTAAGATCCCAAAATATGCCATTACAATAGCGCTTTTATATAACTTTTACTGCTATACTCAGAAACAATGTATGTAAAGATTGCGTGTTAAATAAACGTTAAGCAATTTACAAATTATATATCGAATTGAAGATAAGCTATAAGAAATATGTATATCAAATAAGACTTTTCTTGTAGTTAAATTTTCGGATCTTTAATTGAAACAAGTTTTTTCTTTTTTCTCAGAGTGTATTTCTATTTGTGTATTTTGTGTTTGTTTTCTTTTTTTCATGTCCAATCTATGAATAATTATAATTATTTAAATAATATGTTGAGAGCTCTATATACATAGACACACGCATTAAAAGTAAAGTATGTAGGCTTAAAAGCAACATTTAACAGACGTTGTAACAAATTAGTTAGGCCGGGTTAGATCCTGGATACTTTCTACATGTATTGCTTCCTTTTCCTTAATTTTTGTTTTTGTTGTTTGTGTTTTTTTTTCTTTTTGTTGGCTGCATTGCTCCATGTATTTATCACATATGAGAAATTACGTAATTAAACCAAAAGTAGCTGGCATTAAGCGAAATGACCTTTTTACAGTATGACTCCTGGCGGCCTGAGCGAGATGGAGATACAGCAACTGGCTTGGCTTGTGCGCAGCGGGCGGCCCGTGCGCAAGCTTGACCCCCGCCCCATATGAAAAAGCAACCCCTGACAAATTGGGGTTGGCCATTTGCCATTGCAATTAAATTCGCTGCTCATAGGTCACATTGGAGGAGGCTGTGGATGTTCGGGGCTCTTGCTCTGACGACTGGCTGGAGCCCGCCGTGGCAGTTGACACGACGTTTGTGTAACCGCCAGGGCCGGCAAATACGGACGACACCTGAGCAGGTGAGGGCAGCGACGAGGCTGTCGAGGGTGACGGAAATCCCAAACTGGAGCAATTCGAAGCCGGCGATGTGAGTTCTCCAGCGGCAGCTGCGGCGGCGGCGGCAGCGGCATGTGGATGCAGCAGCTGATGCGGATGTACATGCGGGTGATGCCCATGATGGGAATGATGCGCCAAGTGATGTGGCAAATGCTGCGCGGGCAGCGCATGTGGGCCACCGCCAGCGGCGGCATGTGGATGCGAATGATGATGATGATGATGATGCTTATAGGAACTAATCATGCTGCTAGCCGGATCACAGCCTTGTGCCTGCGCCTGGCAGGCGGCCATCAGGCCATGGAAATCAAATTTGTACGCATACCGCTTACCATGCACCTTGGTCATAATATTCTTGTCATAGTAATAGCTGCAAAGAGATGAAAACAGAAAAAAAATCACAGATTCAATTGAAAACTTGTTTTTGGCATGACTCAGTGGGCAGGAATTGTTGGTCCAGTTCGTTGAGACTTACCGCAGAGCTCTGCTCAGCTTGTCGTAGTTCATGTTTGGCTTGGCCTTGCGCTCGCCCCAACGCTTGGCCACCTCGTCCGGATCGATGAGCCGGAACTCGCCCGATTGGCCCTCCCAGCAGATGTAGTTGGCGTTCGACGAATCAGCGAGCAGCTCCAACAGAAATTGCCACAACTGTATTTGCCCGCCAGAGCCCTGAGCGACCAATCGGTGCGAGGCAGCGTTCAGCAGCTTGTATGGATCTAAAAAACCGCAAACAGAGACAAACAGACAATCAAGCAACAAATACATACAGAAATTTATATAGGTACACACACACACACACAAACGCAACAACAGTGAGCGAGTGGGCGCTAGAACTCGTATGGAACGAGATTTGCTGCTCAATGGTTGCGAGGTCGGGCGGGGTTGTTGCTGCTTTGACAAGGCGTTGGTAACGTGGCATGCAAGCCAAATGAAAGACCATAAGCCGACCATGCCCGATTCCACAGAAAAACAACCGCAAGCACACATAAATCCTCGAACAAGAGCTTGGGATATTCCCGCCATCAGAAGACGTGAAATGCCTAGAGCAGGCTCTCAAGCAGGTGTCAGCTCAAAGACTGCACATGCAACAGTGATCTTAACTGAAGATACCCTGCAGCAGCATAGCTCTCTACTTAAATGTCAACTAACAACGCGGGTGTGTTTAAGCTAGATCTGAACAGCCTAAGGTCTATCTAAGTTATTTACAAACTTTTTTAATATTTGAGTATTAAATGATTGTGCTTGAAGATGTCAATTCAAATTCATAATATTAAATTAATTAACAACGTTTAATTGTTGGAAATTGTTTTTGTTTTAATATTATCTGCCTACTAGATTTAAGTTCTTAAAGTCTTAACGTCTTTAAGCAACGAAAACTTAGCTTGTGGCATAAATATTTATTTAATTTTTTAAGATACGTAAACAAAATAAATTATCGATTTTGTGTAAGTTGTTTATTTAAAAAATATAGATAAGCTTATTTGCCCTCCCATTAAACTGAATCATACAAAATCTTAGCTAGGTACCGCCACTGGGATCAGTTTGTCACTGATCAATCTGACACTAGACCATGCTCCCTTTGTACTCGACTAAGCTTTAGTGCACTAAACTAGGTTTATTTTTAGCCAATTATATGCATTAGATTATATACTTTAGCATACTTAATTACGTGCTCGATCGAACTAATTTGTATCAATTTGCTATCTGCCTAGGGTATACAGAAAGTTCCCCTCATATAAAAATATTATCGGCTGCACGAAAGCAACATAATTCCAGGTGACTCATGGTTAAGAGAAGACAGTTCCGCCAAGAGACGCGCGCGAAAAGAGACAGAAAGCGAGAGCGAGGGAGCTGGCGATAGCGAGTGAGCGAGCAAGTTAGAGATTGGAATTTGCTTCCTCGACTTCTATTAAGCTTCGGTATTTCTATTCTTATGGCAGTTCGTGTCCGGAAATGCCAGATGTTTTTACCATTGAAGATCATGGAACTATGGCCGGAATGAGCGGTGCCAGCAGCATGGCCATGATGGTGGTGCTGATGATGATAGTGATGCACGGCTGTATGGTGGTGCGGATGATGTGTTGCCGGCGGTGCAGGCTGCATGCGCAGCCCGAAGCGCCTATTCAAATCCTCCGAGAGGCGCCACATGACGCCGACATCGACGCTGACGCTCATAGCGCGTAGAGTCGAGACGCTGAATCGAATGGAAACACAAGCAACTCTACAGCGACATGTTCCCAGAAACAGTCGATTCTACAATATATAAATGTTTGTTTGCGCGGAATTGACCTTATTGCAATTATATTTTATTTTTCTGATTTCTGTTTATGTAATGCGAAAAGTGAACAATTTACAAATTTATGTCTTGGCTTCACTTTAAAATTTAGTCTATTTATTGAGAACTGGATATTTTTTCATAATTCTTGTTAAACGGAGTGCGATTTATTTATATTTTTATTTGTTTGGGGCCAGAGCGCAAAGTGCGAACTGTTTCGAACGAACTCCATGTGGCAACTGCTGCCAAACAAAGCGGCGCCCAGTGCCCTATGCGCCATATCAAAAGACATATATACACACATATATATATATATATATATATATATAGTGTAGTATGGTATATAGATGTATAGCTATCTAGACACGAGCAATGCCGAGGCGCAGCTCACCTGCGCAGCTGGTGGTAAATGCTGGACCAAAAGTCACAAAAGGCCACGTGCAGCCACTCAACCCTCGCCGAGCTTTGCCACTCCCCCTCCACTCTCCCGTTCTCCCTCGTGTAGTTCAGCTGTAAGCTCTGGCAGAACAACATGTAATCCTCTTTGGCATAAAAAACAAATCAATTAAATTGGCAGAGACACAGCGACTCTTTAACATATACCAATGCCAAATCTCAGGAAGGATGCAACGAATTGAATATTTTCCTGCCCCACCCAACCGACCGACCTACCGACCATCATTGTACTCCACCCACACGTTTGACCGCCCGCTGAGCTGTTGTCAGTTGGCAGGAATGCCGGCTCCTGCCTTCGTTTGCGTTGAATTTTCTGACTTTGCGACTTTTGCGCGTCGGCGCTTGGCGGGGATTATTTTGATTTTATTATTAGATGCCACATCCTGTGAGAAATTATCATATTTACATCGTTTATTATTAAGTTCATCACTCGAGCCGCAGCCCCGCCCACACACACACACGCCCCAACGGCGAAGTTAATAACTGTCGAGCGAGCTGCGAGAAAAAGTGTTGCATACTTTGCGGTCGCTGGGAAGGCGTTTTTCAAGAGATTTACGTTTATGAGGCAAAAGTTGTAAGCAGCCCGCGATTACGTCGCAAGGATGCTGTCAGAGCAGGTGCAAGTATATAAATATATACATCTACTTGATACAGTGCTAGCTCGCTAATTAAAACGCTTTGTTCAGCTGATTAACTTCAGCTGAAGTTAAGAGTTGTTATAAGCATTGAGCTTATTTTATTATAATATGACAGTAGCAGGTTATAAATAATATTTACTGCCTATTTTCAGTGAGTTTTCAATGCTAATAGTTGTTAATTTTCACAAAAATATTAAAAAATTTAAATCAAAATACAAGAGTTTAATCTAATCGCTTATCCATCCTTTAATGCACATATTATGAAATACTATTATTAAGATATATATAATATAGTGAACAGTGAACGTCTAACAAGATGCATTGAAGTAAGATAATATCTCTATAAATGGATTCAAAAACTACTGCACACACAAAAATAATTTCATACACTCATACATATCAATGGATTGAGTCAGATTAAAAAATTCCTACGAAGATTTGAACCCGCAGAAAAGCGGTTAAGCCACTATCTCGAGCTGCACCGTCTCGCAGACGAATCGAATAAAATTAAATTGGAATTGAAATCGAAATTCTATTAATAGAATTGTATAAAGAATAAACGCATGTGACTGTTTGTATGTGTTAAATTACGCCCAATGCGAAAGGCGACGTTTTCTTTACCTCGTTGTTCCAGGTGTGCAGTCAATCTGCTAGGAGGGAAACATCCTGTGAGTATGCCTAGCAGAATCACTTAAGTCACTTATCTTACTTTTAAATTTGATTTATTTGTGACTGTTCTCTGTTTTAATAGCTATTTTTCCATTGAATATAAGCTTGATATATTTTGATTTATTTGATGAAAGTCGGTTTCAAAAATTAAAAAGAAATTTGGCAACTTTGCATATATAGTATATATATATATATGAATGTGTGTTTGAATGTACGTTGCTGACGCAAATAATCGAGTTATGCCCAAATAAGATGGGACTGATATATAATTTGTGCATTCCATGGAAATCGTGATGGAGTGATCGACTGAGACGAGGGAGAGACGGACCGACGGACCGAGGAAGAGGTAGACCGACGGACCGACCGACAATAAGGCCGAAGTTATTTGGTCTATTGGTACTGAACACGAATATATACCTTATCGCGTAAGCTCCATCTATTTATTACATATATTCTACCTATATATTATATATGAAAGTAAACAAAATATTTAAAAAAGAAAAAAATTGTAAAAATTATTTGAACTGTCGATAAAAATTTTCATCTAAAAGTTCTAGTTAACGAACTGCTACTGCAATGCTTAGATCTAATTAAAAGTCAGCTTAATCCTGACTGTCCTTGACTTCATCCACACATGCTCATATCACCCACACACACATACCCAACCCCTTTTCGAATACCCACTCCCAGTTGGCATTAATTTGACGCCTTATCAATAGCCAAGACGTTCGTCTACCGTTTGGGGGTTGGTGTGAAAAACAATCAATGAGGGACATAAGTAACGTTGCTATCAACGCCTCCGCATCTTAATCAGTTGCCATTAGGTTGCATTGAGAGCGCGGCAAAAAGGATTCAATTGATGCCTGACCGACCACAAAGAAGGACCAAAGGATAACAAAGCAGCTGCTGCTGCTCCTTGCTATACATTGTTTGACCTTAAGCGTGCCACTGGGAATCGCCGACGTGCAGCCAATTACAAGCAACTCAATCTGGACAGATCAGATTTATGTGGCCATAGATTGTGCCGAAAATAAGAAGAAAAACACGGAACACCTAACGCCTCTACTTACTTGGCTCGTCCTCGTTGAGCATGGGACTTGTCTCCCTGCCGGTGGCATGGTAAAGACTCAAGGCGAAATGCTTGGCCAGCAGGATGCCGCCGCGTCTGGATCCGGCACAGACCCAGAAATCGGCGCGAGTCAGCTGGCACAACTCTTTGCCATCTTTGGGAAAGCGGGTGATGTCCGGCTCCGGTTCGATTTTGAACTTGTGCGTCAGCCACTTCACCCAGCTGGCAATGTCCTCGGTGGTCCAGGCATGCGGATCCACGGGCACCAACACAGGTGTGCCCGGTTCACTCTCTGTGTCCGAGTCAATCGGCGCGTCTGCTGGAATAGGTGATGGCGGGTGGGAGGCAGCGAGTGGTAAGGATAACTGCAGCGGTGCAGGTAAATGAGAGCTGTGGCTGCTGGTTCTGCTTCGACTGCTGCTGCCACTGCTGCTGCTGCTGCTGCTGCTTGTGGAGCTCTCTGAATCCGTATCCGAGTTGGAGGAAGTAGTTGTGCTACTACTGCTGCAGCGGCGTCGACGTCGTCGTCGTCGTCGATGATGATCAGCCGCTTGCTTCGCCGCCGTCTCTGCGGCCGTTGTCGCCTTGGAAGATGATGATGATGCACCGACACCTTTGGGTCGGGCATCTTGGTGCATGGCATTCGAGCTCGGCACCAGCACTGACCGCACTGACCACACTGCCCCACTCACGTGCCTATCTAACGTTTTGTTTGAGTTTAAACTTTGAATCTGGCTGCTCAGAATGGCCATGGAACTGACTATACACTGAAACACTGGCACACTGCAAAATATCAGCTGCAGCTTAGACTATTTATCTCGATTTTCTTTGAGCCCGTCATTGTTGTGGTGATGCTGGAAAAACACGAGCCAAGGTCCGCTTTGTTTGCAAACGGACTTAGGATTTTATAAAAACCAACGCGGTGATTCACACTATATTTTTTTTTTATTATTATTTCAATTATTTTTCTTCATGCACGCGCGTATTAAACACCGTTTATTTAGATTAGGAACAGGGGGCTTTTGGAAATTTTATTAATTCAAAGCCGGTTGAAGTTCAATTTACATCGCGAAAAATCGCGCTATGGAAAATTCTCTGCAGTAACCGTTACGTTGCGATCGGCAAGCATCCGCACAGGTTCGCGTATGACAAGTTAATGATCGGCAAAATTGTACCACGATAGTCATGACGAAGTCAATAACGTCAACGCCAAAAAGCTTTCGCTCACAAGTTTCCGCTCTCCCTCTCTCGCGCTCTTTGGGCTGCTCTCCTTGTTTAAGCACGCTGTTCAATTAGCTAGCCCGAACGTATAGCAAACCGCTTTTGGTGCGCTTTTCGCTAGAGGGATCGCAATAATAACAAAAAAAAAATTTAAAAGCTTTTGGATCTGCGACTCTCTTGCGATTCGTCGTTATCTACGCTCGCCGTTGTGACGTAGTCATTTGCGGCCGTTGAACAACCGAATGAGTCACGACGACGCGAGCGCACAAACAAACAAATTTGAAGAGCGCGTCATGGAGTTCCCCAGGCACAGGTTTCTCAACTACAGCTTGAGCAAAGCTGTGGTGTGGTGGGTCGGTGACAGAACGAGGCGGTGCGGCGGGAGTGGGAGTAAGGTCGTTTGGCCGGCTGCTGAACAAATTCATTCATTCACTAATACGTCCGTTTTGCTCGCTCTCACACTCGTTTAAGGCTCGTCATAATTCCTGGAAAATATGCATGACTCTTACGATCGACTAACGCTATGATTGGGCGTCCGATCTATGGTTTGTATTTTATTTTGAAGAACCAAATATACTCTAAGATGCCATTGCAGATCGACGAAGGTATCGACTGGCCTCTGGGTCGCTTGTTTTAGATCTAACTGCTGCTGTTGCGGCGGTTGGCTCCTCTGCTCACTCATTCATTCATGCGAATCGCTCACTCCCCGGTCAAATGCAGAATATTCCAAATCTTGCGAGCGCCACGAGATGACAGGAGACCAGCAATGCCAGCGGCGATTCCGGCAATGATTACGAAAAATAGCATTACAGTGGCAAAATAAAGAGCTACAAATTTTCTTCTATTTGCATAATACAATTATGCGATTAAAAATAAATAAATATATGTAAATAAATATATATAGGTTTACATCTAATAAAATACAAATTTTGATTGATTTGCTTACTTCTTTTATTTCTTTATATTACTTTCATCTGAAGTAAAAGCAAATGTATTCTGGAATAGTCTTTTAAATCATGCATCGATTTCAAAATTATACGTAATGTTACAATAAACTACCAAAGTATTAAGCACTTCGCTTTGAATAGTACAAAGTTCAAACTTTTGTAGTCAAGTCAGAAAGTTCTTGAACTACAAAATTTGAATTTTCATTGAAGCTTTCAAGTTGAGCTTTCTTTTGTTTTTGCTTAATGTATAGCTCGTGTATTCGGATCGCGCAACAAATAGACGATTGCTCTATTGAAATTATTTGAATTCAGCTCGCAATTCCGAGAAACCATTCTGATTTCATAGTTGAGGACGCATTTAATGCATGTGATTCATACAACCGACTGTGGCACGCGCCCTTCACTTCTCTTCAACTATATGTTTGCGGCGCCGCGAGATATTGTATTTATTTTGTACTTTTTGTGGGAAGATACGATATACAATTTTTATATATGTATACGCGTACGTACGTATAGTCGACCTGTTGTGCGGCGAGCTTTTACTATACGTAAAAATTCATTCATAACCAATTGTTTAGCTTCTCTTAGCTGTGTATTGTTTTTAGCCGTGAGTTGTTTTATGTGGGTGAAAGCTCATGTAATCTCAAGATATTCCGATTGCTCATTCATAAATTGGCGATCGTAAATTATGAGTGCTCTGCATTGCATTAATTATATATTTGGTTAAGTTATTATTAATTTGCTTACCTTATGAGTAATGCAGTGAACAGCAGATAGTAATTCACGTTCAAATTTTGATGGGTATATTTAGAAGATATGTATGTATGGATATACATATATGTCAGACCTAGGGTAACGCAGCTCCTAGTGAACTCAGCTCGTAATCAAATTTGATTGATAGCAAAACCCATGCCACTTGAATTGTTTAAGTAGAAGCCAAGCGAATCGGTTGACTATATATATTCGGAAATGTTTTTAAATAAAACCAGGCTTATTTATATATATATATATATATATATATATATGTATTCACATGCAACATCAATTGAACGACAAATTATTACGGGAAAGTACTAATACAATCTATTTGCTGATAGTATTGGGTTGGCTGTACGATAAGATATTTATAGATTATTGTTATATATATGTATATATAGATAATCGTAGCTTACTACCATTACTCATAGGAAACTCTGAATCGTTGCTAACTCTGAATGTAGCTAGTTCAGTGCAGCTCTTCTCTGATTTCCTCGTCATCAGCCTCGTCATCGCTGTTTGAAGTGGTGTTTGTTGTTGTCATTGAAATCGTGGTGGCTGCTGTTGCTGTTGTCGAGGCGGTTACTTGACGTCCCGAATTCCAAATGAGCTCAAAATCTAAATCACATTCCTTGGCCACTCGCTGCACCAGTGCTCTGTCCACTAAGCCAGAGGCGCTCCACGAGTTGTCCTTGACGGCGAGTTCTTTCAGAGCTCGTCCTGCCTCGGGAAACTGCTTGGCATAGACCAAGGCGCGCACTAACATCGACAATATGTGCGAGTGACGTATGGGCGGCTGCTCCGGCTTCACTGTAAATAGAAAATAAAATATAAATATACAATTTTCTCATGATTGCATTGGCAGACTAATTGATGACCTGTGCAGCTTGCACATCTACAACTATGTGTGATGGATTGACCTGCAAATTGTAGTCTCTGAAATATGATTTATCTGCTATAAAGCTAAGAGTTCCATCTACTCTACTTCTATAACTGCGCTCTGTATAAACTTACTCAACATGCTGCGACAAGCTCCAATTACGGCTAGATTATCGCCGGCACGCAGTGCCTGCTGCATCTCCAGAATGGTCTTCACATCTGCAACGGTGCGCTGAAGATTGTTGTAGGCGTGCTGAGCATGGCTAAGCTTCTCTAGACACTTGGATGCCTCCTGCATGGCTGTCAGTGCTTTCTCATAGTCCTGATACTCCTCGATCTCAATCTGTGCGCAAATCGCATAGAAGTTGGCCAACGAATCGTATGCCTGTGCCTTGCCATAGAAGCTGATGATGTGCTTGAGGATATTGCCGTCGCTCTGCCAGTCTAGAGCTTGCAGATAGTTAGCGGCCATGATGTAGATCTCACGCTGACGTGACATGGTCGCAAAGAAGATTATCTTGTCGGTGTTGCCGGACTTGAGGAGGGATTTCATGGCGCGCACCTTGTCTCCGGCCTGTGTAAACTTCTTGGTGGCGCTGTGATAATCGCCTTGCTGCTGCAGCAGCTCGCCCAGCTGTACAAGGATACCCGTACGTGTGTCCTCCTCGAAGTCCCCTTTGCCGGGCGTCAGCATGTCTGCCAGCTCCTCTGTGACCGGAACACCCTTTTCCAAGCAAATATTCAATGCACGCTCCAAATGCTTTGTCTTGGCCAGCAATTGAACCGCCTTCTGGTACTGTTCGATGCTGGAGAAGAAATCCGCACAGCGATTGATTAGCTCCGCATCCGACTCGGCGCTCAGCTCTGTGGCTATAATCTCTAGTATCTCTGGCTGCTGCGACTCGAAGGCCATTTCTAGCGCCTTGTGAAGCATCCCCGCTCGATGATAGAGCTCTACGGCATACTTGAAATTTCCACACTCCTCGAAGTAGGCCGCTGCAATGGCCTTGTCTCGGCTGCGCGACGAGCTGGCCACCGTCCAGAGCTCCTCCTGAAAGTCGTTCTCCTTGCAGATGCGTATGGCATTGCTAAAGGTCTGCGCACGTGTATAGAACATGATCGCTTCCTGGAATTTGCCTACATTCTCATAGTGCCTACCCAGATGATAGCATGCCGCACGATCACCCGACTGTCTGGCTATGGCATCCGCCTTAGAGATCTTGCCCAGGTAACAGAGAATCTTCACCTGGGAGAACCAGTCCTCGGCCTTGCTGTAGACAGCTAAAGCGGCATCCATATCACCAGAGCTCTCCACATATTGACCCCACCACTTCAGCATCTTAGGATCTGTGGTGGTTTGTATATAGCGCTGCATGGCCATGGGATTCTCTAGCAACAGCTGGGTTATATTCTGCACAGGATTCTGTGTCTTCTCGTAGTACTCCAGTGCGCCCTTGATGTCGCCGCGTTCGCGTAGAGCCTGAGCCTTCTGGTAATATGTGTGCTTCAGATGTATTCGATCATCCACTTCGGCCACTTGAAGCGCCTCATCCAGCTGACCTGTGGACTGAAGCAACTTGTTGAGTAGATCATGACGTTTGCAGCGTTTGTATAGCTCCTTGGCCTCCTCAATCATGCCCAGCTCAATGGCCAGCACGGCAACTTTAGCCTCCAGCTCGAGGTCGTCGTCCTCCATGGCCTGGCGCAGAGCGCGCACCGATCGGGCCTGCTCCAAATGGCCCATGCACACCTTGGCCACATCCAGGCGATTTGTGTGCACGCACATCTTAGCCAGATTAGTCCAGATGACCTTGGACTGAATGGAGCGTACGCAACGAAAGGCCAAGTCCATTTGACCCTCGGCTACGTGCAAACTAAAGTTCAGCACCTGCCTCCGGGTGTTGGCATCGCAATGCTGCAGATCGACGAAGTCCTGCAGCGGCTGCTCTTGCACGGCATTCACCTGCATACAGACAACGCTGGGCACGCACAGATTTAGCAGCTGTGCGCCGGAGCTCATTGCCTGCGTTTCGAGCACATTCAGTTTGCATTCGTTCTTCTCTGAGTAGAACATGACTAGCACCTGCGACTCCACGTAATGGGTGGGAGTCGGTTGTTGTCGGCTGGGCTTTTGGGCTTGCATCACCATCGACTTGATCTCAACAGCCAGCAGGCGTGGCTCCTCCGTATCCCAGAAAAGTCGCACAGCAAGACTTGACTTGCTGCTGTTCTCCGACTCAAGCTTGACCAAATCATGCTCGAAGAGATTGTTGCGCTCAAAGTCCCAGCAGTAAATAGCAGCGCACGGAGTAAAGCTGCTGTTGGCGATCACCAGCGCCAGGTGGCTGCCCAAGCTATTGCATTTGACCAAAATGAACTCGCCGAAGTCATCGAAGATCTCGTGTCCCGATTTGCTGGGAAACAACAACTTGGGATCATGTCGGGTTACATCGTACGCCTTTACATAGCCATTCATTGTGAATACGGAGAGATAGCAGCCAGTCAGGTCCATGCCAATGATTTTGCCTTCTATATCGTTGCCTAGAATTCGATGGAGCACAACGCCTCCAACGGAATAGATGACTATATCGCTGGAGCTTAGGCAAAAGATGTTTTGATTGTGCAGGCACAAGTTCAGACACTCGGCGACGAAGGTTTGCATCAGTCTCACGTTCAATGCCGGAGAGCTCTTCACAGATGCCGTGGAACCCGCGCCGGACGCTTCCAGAATCTCATCGAATTCATCCAGGCTCTTCTCAATCTTCTGCAGACTGTAGGATGATATGGAGCGTCCATTGCTCACGACCAGGCTGAGCTCATTCAGAGCCAGCGCAGTCACCGCAAAGTCCACTTCGACTGCGCACTGGCGTCCGCTGCAGTGCGTCAGCTGGACACACTTTGCCGAGCTCTGCACTGCCCACAGACTGCGAGTATGGCAAGCGAGAAGTGGTTGCTCTTTGAGCATAAACACGCTCGATAAGCAATTGACTAGAATGCAGGGCTTGGCCAGCTCGTTGTAACCCCAGGTGCAGCTTTTGATCGCACCCTGACGCGACAGTGAGGAAATGCTGCCCAGCTGCCAGGCATCCTCTGGAGCGCTGACAAAACAGCTAACTGTGCGCTTCCAAGTATACAAGTTGCCCAGATTGGTGGCTGCGCACAGGGTCTGATTGCTGTTGCTGTATGCGAGGCAAGTGAAAATCTCATTTGAGCTTAGCTGCGCATACTTTGACATCTTGCGTGGCAGATTATTGTTACTGTTGCTCTCCACGCTGCTCTCCTGGTTGAAGAACCCATTGTTGTTGGATGAGGAGGTGCCGGTCAGTCCATTGCCTAAGCTAGGCAGCGAGGATCCCACACTCTGCACACTGGAGCTGGGCAGATCCATTTTGAGCAGGTAATTATCACTGCGCTCAATGTCCCAGATGCGCACGGACAAATCGCCTGTGATTATGGCCAAGCTGTTGCCCGCCCAAGCAATGGCACCATGCTTGCTCGTGCCTCGACCGCTCAGCTTTACCCGATCCAACTCCGTCAAAATGCCCGTAGACTCGACCAGGTATAGCATGATAGTCAAATCGTCTAGTAGGCAAATGACTGCATCCCTTAAAGAAACAATTTATTGAGCCAAAATCAGTTCGGAATAGTTTTACATACTTCTTGGGATGCCAGAGCATTTGCATGATGCATGGCTGATGTGTTCCGCCCTTCAGTACTTCGCTGCAGTTCCCGCCTTGATTAATATAGTAGGCAACGCCGCCCTGTGTGCACGCATAGAAGCAGTGATTGTCTCGCACGCCCGAGTGACCGCGAGCAGCTGTGCGCGGTCGCCAATTGGTGAGCGTATCTAGCGCATTCTCGTCGCCTGCTACCGCCGCCTTGGCAAGACTCGCCATCTCCTCGCGCACCTCGCTTTCGACTGTGCGACGGAAGCAGATTAGCAGCAAGGCCTCGCGTAGATCGTGCGAGAACATAGTGAGAAACTGATATTGGCCATCACAGCGCCAACCTGTTACCAGGCCCATTGCATCCGCAGTAACCATGCGGCCGCCTTGTTCGCTGAATTCCAGCAACACAATTGGCGCCTTGTGTGGTCCGCTGACGCTGGCGAATTCGCGATGGCCGGCGAACCAGACATGTATATCACCATGCTCCCAGCCCGTGGCTAGCAGCGCCTTCTCTGGATGCCAGCACATAGCAGTTGCTTGTGAGGTGGCGTGAACTGGATAAGTGACATCCCGTTGTGGTTCTCCCTGGAAAAAATGTTAACCAAAATCTGTTTTTCAATTCCAGGTGAAATGAAACTTACTGTATCCGCAAATATGGTCACACTGCCTCCGCGCTCCTGGCTGTAGGAGGCCACCGCGAAGAGTGGTTCATTGGGATGCCAGCTGCTGATGGTGCTCACTGCATCCGAGTCCAGGAACTCAATTTTTGTATCAAAATAGAGCGTCATCTCTTATACTTGTTTCTGGGTATCCTTTTAACTCTTCGTTGTTGCCCAACAAGCCGCTGGCCACAACAGGCAACGGTTGCCATGACTGCTCCTTCGTGTTGCTGCAGCCCTGGATAAATTATAATGCAATTAAATTGAAAATAATATTTGCTGAAATACTTGAAAAACAACTATCTTGCAATCAGAAAACTAATTACATCTTCTCAATCAGATTTACGCCTGACGGCCCCTCTCTAATTCTACGCACATGATCGCTTAAAAACAAATTACACTGCTGAACAAAACAATTATTATTTAAGTCTTACTATAAAATATATTGAATAAATCTATATTATTATAGCGCAAAGATCTGCTTAAAATGAATATATGTTTGTATATATATTACATAAAAATATCAAGGCCATATCATTTCAATTAGGTATTGTACTTATTTCAGTACAAACTCAACATTTCTGTTGATCAGTGTAATAGTGCAAAAGCCATTATTTGTGAATACACATATGCACACATTCATACACAGTCAGCGACTATACAGCTATACTATGCACACACACTGACATGCACGCATGTTGGATATACATACCTATGCTTCTATGTATGTATGTACATATGAAATCACCGGCAAGCAGCTTTTCATTATTACGACGCATTTTCAAGCTGGAAACAAACGATTACACTAGAGTAGAGTGCAGCACTGTAAGAGCAACAAGCGAAAAATGGCTGAAGAAAACACAACGAAAACTGCGCTGAAAATTGCGGGCGCGGTCATCTTACCAAATCTGGGAGGCATTATCAATGGCCATTTGACGCGCAAGAATTTGAAGAACTGGTATGTCAACTTGAACTTTCCATCGTTCAGGCCTCCAAACTGGGTATTTGCACCTGTTTGGACATCCCTGTACGCTGGCATGGGCTATGGCTCTTACCTGGTGTGGCGCGACGGCGGCGGCTTTAGCGGCGATGCTAAATTGCCATTGGTCGCCTATGCCACACAGCTGGCGCTCAACTGGGCTTGGACTCCGATATTCTTTGGAAAACATAACATCAAGGGCGTAAGATGAAGTTTTAAAGTTGACTTAGTTTTGTGTATCTTATCTATTCAATGTCACCCAAAGGCGCTTATTGACATTGTTGCGCTTACGGCAACGGCCGGCGCATGTGGAGTGCTCTTCTATCGTGTCAATCAGACGGCCGGTCTTTTGTTTTTGCCGTATATGGCCTGGCTGGGATTTGCCACTGCCTTGAACTATGCCATGTGGAAACTTAATCCGGAGAAGCCCAATCAAGGTGAGCAGGAGGCTTCGGGACGCAAGCAGCAATAATTGCTGATTGATACAGATCATAAGTTTTGTTTTAAAATGTTTATTTTTTGATAGAAAATGTAATCGTCACAAAATAAAATCGCATCGGCATTATCGATAGGTTGAAGAGTTGCATATGCGGCACACTGTCGATCATTCTGCTTCTGCTTCATCTTCTAGCCGAACGTGAATTTTTGAAAATGCATTAAAATCATATTTAGTTCGCGCTACCGCCCGGTGCTCCAGTGGGGGTCGTTGGTGTGCCCGCCTTAGGGGAGGTCGTCTTGGGCGAAGCACCCGCTTTGGGCGATGGCGACGCTTTAGGTGAGGACTGCGAATTGGGTGTGTTTGCCGGCGTCTTCGGCTTGCCATCATTCTGTCCGCTGGCCTTTTGCTGTTGCTGCTGCTGCTGCTGAGAATTCGTTTTAGCACCTGCTGGTTGCTGTTTTGGTGGCGATGCCTTGTTGCCTTTGCCCTGCTGTTGTGGGGCGTTTGCGGGTTTTGGACCAGCTGGCTTGGCAGCTGACGTCTCTGGTTTGGGTGCAACCGTGGGCTTGGCGGCCTGTGGTTGCTTTTGCTGTTGTTGTTGCTGTTGTGGTTTGTTGCCAGCAGCGTTTGCCTGCGGCTGCTTTTGGGCTTGTTGTGCCTGGCCGGGCTTAGGTTGCTGCTGCTTGGACTTCTGAGCTGAGTCTTGTTTTTTATTATTGCCGCCAGCTGCTTGTTTTTGCGCAGGAACTGCTGTGGGAGCAGCTGTTGCTGGTGGAGTAATTGGAGCGGCTGCTGCTGCTTGTTTCTGTCCAGGTGCTACTATGGGAGCAACTGTTCCTGACGGAGTAAGAGGAGCAGCTATTGGTGGAGAAGTTACATCAGGAACCGCTACTGCTGGTGGTGTAGTTGAAGCTACTATTGGCGGTGTAGCAGGAGTTGTTGCAAGAGGAACTGCTGCTGCTGATTCTGCAGCTGCTACTGGACTTGGAGCTGCTGATGATTGTTCGGTAGGCGCTGCTGCTTTGGGAGCAGTTACAGCAGCAGCTGCTGCCTGTACAACTGCAGCTGCAGAAGCTGCTGGTGCCACTGCTACAGCAGGAGAAACAGTTGTACCTGCTGGACTTGCAACTGGAGCTGTAACTGGAGCTGTGACTGGAGCTGTAACTGGAGCTGTAACGGGAGCTGTGACTGGAGCTGTAACTGGAGCTGCGACTGGAGCTGCAACGGGAGCTGCAACTGGAGCTGCGACTGGAGCTACAACGGGAGCTGCAACTGTAGCTGGTGTTGGAGTTGCTGCTGCTGGTGCAGGAGTTGCTGGGGGCGTCACTTGCTTTGTTGGTGGAGGTGTCACTTGCTTCGGCGTGGCTTGTTTTGGCTGTTGTGCTGGAGCGGCGCTCTTTTTATCCTCTGGTTTCTTCTCCTGAGGTGTTTTAGCTACAGTTGGCTGTTGCTTCATTTGCTCCACTGTAGCTTTAGTCTCAGCTGGAGGTGTGACCTGCTTTGCAGGTGGCGGTGTCACTTGTTTAGGTGCTGGCTGTTTCGCTTGCGGTGCAGCAGCCTGTTGTGGATTGACATCCTTGGGTTTGGGCTCTGGCTTCTTCTCAGGTTCAGATGCTGTTTTCTGATCCTGCTTGTCGACGTTTGCTTTTATCTCAGCTTTGGCCGAAGTTGGCGGAGACTTTTGCTCAACTGGTTGTTCGGCCTTTTTCTCTTCGACTGGCTTGGGTGGCTCAGCGGCTACAATCTGGGCCAATGTTTGCATAGCTGGCGGTGTATTGGCCTTACCAGCTGGAACAGCGGCTGCGCCTGGTTGTGGTGCAGGGACAGCGACTGGACCCGGTTGTGGTGCTGCAGCGGGTTGTGTTTTTGGTTCCACTGTTTTCGATTGGTCTGTCTTAGGCTCCGATGTTGATTTCTTTGCTTCCACCTTTAGATTATCCACAGCTATGGCTGCGGGCTTGACCTCCAGCTTAGCTGCATCCACCTGATCGTTTTGCTTATTGTTCTGTGGTTCGTTTTTCTTTTCTGCCTTCTCTTGGTTCTTGGGCTGACCTTTCTTATTGTTTTGCTTATCCTTGGGCTTTTCATTCATATTGTTGGGCTTCTGCTGAGGTTGTTGCTGCTGTTGCTGTTGTTGCTGTTGTTGTTGCTGCTTCTTACGCTCCTGCTTGCTGGGTTGCTGCGCTTGTTTATTGTCCGCTTGTTTATTCGCATTTTTTGCATCCTTGGTCTTCTCTGTGGTAGGCTTTGCCTGTTGTTCCTTGCCAGCAGCCGCAGCCTCCTGTTTGGCCACCTCATCGAAGTCGCCCACCAAGTCGGGCACATCATCATCATCCTCTACCGCCTGAGCTGCAGCTGTGCCGCTTTCAGCAGACTTCTGATTGTTGGACATGGAGTTGGCATACATGCGCAGTTGCACAACTGTCTCCTGGCCGAGCTGTGGCAAAATCTCTGGCAGCATTTCGACAATCTTCTTCGTTTCGCCATGACCCGTGACGGCAAAGGTGTTCGCGGAGAGCGAGGCCTGAGCCTTGGGATTGTTGAAATGGATGACCGTAAGGTCATCCTTGATTATGTTCACCTCCTCGATGCCGGGTATGGTGCTCACCGACAGCTTCTTTAAAGAACTCTGAAGCTTCTTGTCATCGGTGGCCGCCGTCTGGTGCATGACCTTCTTTTTGCGACGGGGCGTGCCTTTGCCACCGATTCGCACCTGCGCTTGCAGCCTTTTCAGCTTCTCCACATTCATAGCGAATCTCTAAAAAATATTCATATATATAAAATATGCATATATATATTATAATATTACATAAAATTATCAAGAGATTACCTCAGATATTTCTATTCAGTTCTTAGTCTTGTCCTCCGACGTGCAACTCCACGTACGTAAGAGCCAAATGCGAATAAATGCAGCCGGGGCAAACCGATCCACAGCATAGAACGACCGACCGACCGACCAGCGCCCAAAGCCCCAACCGAAGCAGCGCTGCTTTTATTAATAACGCAACTCGGCGAATCTTTCGCCTGCTTTATTTTTGTGGCACTTTTTGCATTTTTGTTTTTGCACGCAAAAAAAAAAAATTGGGAAAAAGAAAAGCGAAATACAAAAATGTCGCGCGACATTATAAATAGCCCAGATTCTCTGCCATGGCAGGCGGCAGCCGTTGCTGCTATTTGTTTAGTTGCTTTCCCAGTGCTCTGCAGCTAGCCGTGTGGCAAAAGCGAAGCAAACCAAGCCCCAGTTCGCATCATCCTCAACGGCTGTTGAACTATTGGCGACGCACTGGACACGCAGACGCATTCGAGGCAGTGCGTCAAAAATAGATAAACTACTATCAACACAGCCACATGTACACAGGTCAAACTTTCACTCTACAAGAGTGAACATGTATACATATAATACTGTATGTATCTATGTATGTTTATAAAAATTGTGTGGATTCTATTAGATTCACGTATAGCTCAGGAAACAGGAACGAAAATTGATATTAGAAATGTCGAATCGGTAAACACACTCGTAGACACATCGATAAAAGGTAGAGATTTCCTATATGATCTATCTAGAAAATATAGCATTTCAGCATAAAATGCATATAAGATATAGCTCTACACATAGTAGAGCTTATACTAACATAGTTTGCTAGGTATATTCGAAAATCATTATAGTTTTTCATACATAAATTTTATCTTTTATATTTTTATTCGTATGCAAGCTTTATGACATTTCTAGCAGATCAGTTCACCTTGGCAAATCTGTACAAAGTTTTATCTCAATTGCTTTGAATTAAGAGAATATTTTCTATAGATTCAATATGTATTCAATTTATAGAATTATTTTTGTTTATCATATAATTAGCAAATTAGCACATAAATAAATTTTGAGCAGATATCAAATTGGGAGACCAGTTGGAAACGACAGACAGGACAAAGATTTTTACATAAATTAGAAAACTTTAACTGAATACATTCAAATTAAAAAAAAAAAGAAGAGTATATAAAATATATTAGAATCTTCACTATAACGCTTGTTAATCTTTGTGGCTACTCTCGTATATAAACTATATAAATAAGATATAGTATTTCAATGCATAAAGTATTCTTCGAATTCCTATTTCAACGCATATTTACATAGTTTATTAAAGGTCTCTTAACTAAAAACTATATATATTTGTATATGCTGACTAAATTTAAACCATTTGCCACCTTCTTTAATGCGTTTCACTTTTAACAATATAATTAGAATACCCAAATAAAAGGGCAAAAGAATTTGCGTTTAATGACGCAGTTCGTTGAGAAATATAGTTTTGTTTTTACGACAGAATACAGTAGAAGCTCTACAGATGAACAGCGAAATATATTATATAGTAATTAAAATGAATCGGCAGCAACAATGCAAGGCTTTCGATAATTACAAGGTTCTTTAAATTAAAAAACACTAGCAATAAAAACTAGAAGCGCTTTCTGTGTTCTACAAGTCTAGCTCTATTGCAGCTTAAATTAATACTTAATAATTGGAAAGTCGACCGACCTATAAGAGTTTCTGATCCTTAGCCACATGCATTGCGAATTTGTATATCTTTTTGATATCCGAATTTGCGCAAGCAGCATAAATTTGCTGATGCATTTCCATTTCCTGTTGCACGAACGGCTCAATGTCCCTGTACTTTTCCTCCTCCGCCTTCAGCTCAGCCAGCATAGCCAAGTTCTTAAAAGGTTAAAGTAATATTAGCTTAATGATTAATTAAGCTTTAGTTTTGCAACAACCTGACGATAACGTTGCTTTAGCTCTTTGACCTGTGCAGCCTTCGCCTCCTCCTCTTCGCTGGTGAACCGCTGCTCCAGTTCAAAGTCCTTGATCTGAAGCACATGCGGCGGCACTTCAAAATTAACTTTGTCCAGCTCCCGCAGGCGATCGAGTTTTGGCTGACACGCGTCCATCATTAAACTTATGACTGCATCTTTACTTTTATTCAGTAGTGCCGTTGTAGCTGGGGTTTCAATTTTCTGAATGGTTGTTTTAACAGCTCGGCCGATGAGTGCTTGAACCAGGTTGTCTCCTAAAAATACATCAAAGAGTTAAGAAACTATTTCTTAGTTGCGCTTAGGACCACATACTTTCAGCGGCTATCTGTTCTGGTGTAAAGTTAAAAAACTCCACGTTGTAAGCGCTTTGATTGAAATCCATTTCTTTTGTTTAACAATTTAAATTGTTCAAACTAAAAACGTAAACAAAATGATGCCAAAATTGCGCGGATAGAAATCGAGCAAATAAATCGAATACAATGATAGTCAGCTAGCTATCGATATCTTGTTTGAGAATAGTGTGACCAATTTGAATTGTGTTTTTCAATTTGAAAAATATGACTTGAGTTTATTTTTATTTTTCACGTACAAAAGAAACACCAATTTTTTTATCCATAAATTTTGTTATATTTGATATTTAATAATTTAATAATTTAATAATTTTAAAAATACTAAATTTAATACTAGTTTTAAGTGCTGTATAGTGTATAAGTAGTAAATGCCCGCCAGTTAAATCCACTTGTGATAACCACATGTAATTATATTAGAACAGAAGATATTTTTTTGTTTAAGAGGGCTCAGCATGATTGCAAAATCAGCATAAACCAGAACTATAATTCGTATTTAAGGTCAGTTTATTGCTACCAATGAGTCGATGTTCCTCCCGCTTCATTCGTGCGCTAAGCCGCACATTTTCCACCAAACAGCAAATAGTTGTGCATCCAGATGTGCGACATGCGCTGGAACAGAGGCAGCCTGTCGTGGCGTTGGAGTCGACAATTATAACGCACGGTATGCCAGTGCCTGAGAATGTGGAAACTGCCCTGCTTGTTGAGCAGGAGGTGCGTAAGAATGGAGCTATCCCAGCTACCATTGGCATAATTGATGGGCGCATCACGGTAGGATTAACGCACGAGGAACTTGTGGAACTGGCACGAAAGCCGCGTGAACAGGTTATCAAGTGCTCACGTCGCGATCTACCCTACGTATTGACAATGGGTCAGAGTGGTGGCACCACTGTGGCGGCCACCATGATTGTGGCTCATCGTGTTGGCATTCCTATCTTTGCCACCGGCGGCATTGGTGGAGTGCATCGTGAGGGTCATATCACACTGGATGTGTCCGCCGATCTCGTCGAGCTAGGACGAACGCCGGTTGCTGTCATTTGCAGCGGAGTCAAATCCATATTGGATATACCGCGAACTCTCGAGTATTTGGAGACACAGGGCGTCTGCGTGGCAACCTATGCAAGTGAGGGCGGAGTGTTTCCCGATTTCTATACGCGCGACAGCGGTTGTAAGGTTCCCTACAATCTGCCCACCGCGGAGCAAGCTGCTCAACTACTGCGTGCCTGGCAACAGCTCAATCTACAGTCGGGCGTACTCATAGGCGTTCCTATTCCTGCGGAATATGCTGCCGAGAAGTTAGCCATAGATGCGGCTATTAAGGAAGCCAATGCTGAAGCGATGGCACAAGGTATTTCGGGAAAGGAGGTCACACCCTTTCTGTTGGCGCACATCGCACGCCTTACCAAAGGACGCAGCCTGCAGGCAAACATAGCGCTGATTCGAAACAATGCCTCGGTGGCTGCACAAATTGCCTGCAATCTGGCAAAAGATCGAAGCTCAACTCCAGTTAGAAAAAGTTCCACAAAGAAACCTTTAGTTGTAGGCGCTTCCATACTCGATTTGTCCTTCAAGATTACTGAAAAGCGACAGTTGCATTTGGATGGAGCCACCTACTCAGGTGTGGCCAAGCAAGCCGCTGGCGGCGTTGGACGCAACATAGCCGAGGGCATCTACAAACTATATGGTGATGTCAATCTCATCTCGGCTGTGGGCACCGATCAGTTAGGACAAATACTGCGTCAGCTGATGCCAAAGACACTGCAAAAAGGGCTCATTGCGGATGAGAACCACGCCACATCCCTATGTTCGGTGGTGTTTGATCAGTTAGGTGACTGCCAGCTAATCCTGGGCGATATGGAGGTGCATAACAGCATTACGCCGGAGTTACTGACAGAACGCAGTGAGCTGTTTCGCGATGCACCGATAATTGTGATGGACAGCAACATTTCAGAGCAGGCGATGACCCGCACGCTGGAGCTAGCGCAGCGCTACCAAGTGCCCGTTTTCTTTGAGCCCACTGACATGTTTATAGCCGGCAAGCCGTTCAAGCTGCGTCCAGAGCTCACGCAGCACATTCGAATAACCAAGCCCAATATTCACGAGCTCAAGACAATTGTGGAGACCATCACGGGACAGTCCGTCAGCTGGAAACCCACTACGAAAGTGGAACGTGGAGAGCTCTTAATGCAGGCCAAGCAGCTACTCAAGCAAATTGAGTCACATTTCAATTGTATCATTGCCACTCTGGGGGATCACGGTGTGGTGCTCAGCTTCCGCTCCGATGCAGAAAACGATGCGGGCAAGCTGCTTGCCCTCTCGCCCAGCTGCGAGCACATCACGTATTTCTACCCGGCACCAAAGCTGAACAACATAGTCAATGTTTCTGGTGCCGGCGACAGTTTTTGTGCCGCCTTTATAACTGCGTTGCTTAGGTCACATAACATCGACGAGTGCATGGCAGCTGGCTTTGTATCTGCCGAGCGCGCTTTACTGTCAGAGTCGGCGGTGCCGTCCACCTATTTTGAGAATAACCAGGAATTCGAGAACAGCCTTCAGCATGTTTTCCAAACGCTGAAACGGCAAAACATCTAAGCTATGCTGACAGACGGAACGAAGAGTTGAACTCAGGGTTCTAACTTTATTGTTTAAATACATGTATAAGTATATATCGATGCTATATATGTTAGCATGTCAATGGGCCCATCTGCAAAAGTGACAATAAATGTGATTAATATTATTTTGAAAATAATCATAGATTTCTTTTAACTTACAACTTGATAACCTTGTCTTTGCCGCCGGAGGCAACGCGTGAGCCATCGGGCGCCCAGTCTACGCCAAAAACTTCGTCCGCATGGCCGGGCAACTCCTGCGCCAGCTTCTTGCTCTGCACGCTCCAGACTATAATTTTGAAATAGTAATTATACAACCTATGCAATGCCATATGAAATAGCTTTACCTTTCAGCGTGGAGTCTTTGCTGCCAGAAACAATCAGACGCGAATCCGCTGACCAGGCCAGCGTATACACAGCCTGTACATGGCCGCGGAATGTGGCTATAAACTGACCATCGTGAGCGCGCCATAGACGTACGGACTTGTCGAAGGATGCAGAGGCGATGAGTTTCACATCCGGCGAATATTTGACATCGTTCACCACATTCTGATGGCCAGTCATGCGTTCCACGCACTTGTTCTGATTGTTGCGCCACAAGTACAAGGTGTTGTCGTCCGAGCAGGAGACCAGGGACTCCACCTCATCCGGGCAAACGGCCTGAAAGCGCTTTAAAGCAGCTGCACGTAGTTCTTCAGCTACAAATATAAGGTTTTTAACTAGCAATACTAGAGATAGGTAGGAGTCACTCACTTTCTCCCTTGATCTGCGCCATTTGGCGGTCCTTGACCGGTTGGAAGGGTCCAGTGCGGAGTACGTAATCCGTACTTAGCGCAATGTTGTTCACCCAGTGTGCATGGCCGGTGAAGGTGCGGCAGAGTACTCCATCATCGGCACGCCACATTTTGATAGTGCGATCCTTGGACGAGGTGTAGATTAAGCCAGCGCCACCCCAGCGGACGGCTGTAACCGCGTTCGTGTGCCCTGCAATATTGAGTAGACACTGACCCAGCTTCGTGTCCCAGATACGGCAGTCGCCATCACTGCTCGCCGAAGCAAGCTTGCGGCATTCTGGATTCTGGTGATAGGGCTCCCAACTGAGGCAGTTGATGTGTTTCCTGTGTCCGCTCAGTGTGCGGCCAACTTGCTGGCCCGTCTCTGGATCCCAAATAATAATATTGCCAGCCTTACAGGCGCTCGCTAGACGCTTTCCGTCCGGTGCCCAGGCGACGCACAGCACCCACTGTTTGTGGCCGCTGCAGGTGTAGTGCGGCGTCTCTGTATTGAGATCCCAGAGGCGTACTGTAGTATCGCCACTGCCGCTGGCCAAATGGGCACCATTAGGACTGAAGTGCAGCGATACTATCGCCTCTGCATGTCCTGGCATGGAACTGGTGCAACGCGTCACTGGCCGAACCTTAAAAACTGCCTGCGGCTGATATACAATATCAATCACATTCTCCGTGTCCACTGTGCTTAAGTCTAGTGTCTCCTCCAAAGACTTTTTGATCTCATCCTCGCCGACAAAGAATAGATAAGGCGTCGCCTCTTCATTCTTAAGCAATGCATTGCAGATGAGCCCCAGTTGCTGCGTTGTGATGCCCGACGGTAGATCTATGGGTGGACCTGCTTCCTCGCCTGTGTCCGATATCAGGCGGGCTTGGAGTGTGTGCGGCGTTGATAGCATTTGTTCGCTTTGATTTTCGATTTTCTGCTTTTTGGCCAACATTTTGCGATGCGGAATGTCGAAACAGCACGAACCAAAACAACAAAATCAAAACACGTGCGTTGTTTGACTGCAACTTAACAGAAGTTTAACATCTTGTTAACAGTGAGTACGGGTTTCGTTATAAAATACTTGTAAAGCAACTAAGTCAAGAATATTCTAACATAACGAACAGTTAAAATGGCATATGACTTCTAAAATTACATCACAACGAGAGGAGATAAAATTGCATTAAATTTTTAAAATACCCGCTACAGTCTTTAAAAGTGCCAAGTGAGTAAAACAATAACACTGATATCGAAATCGACTAGAACCCAATTAGGTGCTGTACAACGTGTTTTGTACGGAAACATTTTACAGCACTGTCGCACAATTTTCATGTACGCGTTTTTCATACGTTTGTTGCCTAAAAATTGAATAAAATGGAAAATATTCCGCGTACTCATGAAGGTAAGTTAATATGAAATGCAAATATAGGGCGAAAAGGCTCTGACTAACATGCTTTATGCGTAGCGCGTCTAAGAACGCGCCAAGTATTCGTGTGGCGCCCTAGTTGTTGCCGATATAACGAGAAAATCAATTTTAATGTATTAAAAACGTTTTACAGACATTGAGGCGCAAATATCGGATATACAGGCCAAGAAGACTGAACTGGCTAAGAGCAATGCAGCGGCAGCCGGTGTTGGTTTGCTGGACAGTGGCGGCTTCTTTGACACCGACTTGTACGACGATGAGGCGGCAGTAGGAAAGGGGGCCAAAGGCCGCTATGAGGGTTACAATACATCTATAGCGGCCAATGATGATGATGGCGACGAGGATGAAGAGGACGATGGATTTCCAGTGCCGCAGAAGCGCACCACATACACGGCGCCCACGTCTGTATTGAAGGATGTGACTCAAGGCAAGGAGGACATAGACCCAATGGCTGAACACCGGCGACCGACCATAGCAGATCGCGAGGATGAGTACAGACAAAAGCGGCGACGGATCATCATTTCGCCCGATCGAGCCGATCCCTTTGCTGATGGCGGTAAAACGCCGGATGTGGGCTCCCGCACCTATACAGACATTATGCGCGAGCAGATGCTAAAGGGCGAGGAGTCCGAGTTGCGGCGTCGCATCATGGAGAAGTCTAAGGAGGGTACACTTGTTAAATCCTCAAATGGAGAGTCGGCGTCGAAGGAAGGTGGGCGGAAGCGTGGACGCTGGGATCAGACGGTCAGCGATAGCTTCATACCCGCTAAAGTGGCAGCCACGCCAAGTAGCGCTGCGACGCCCACCTGGGAAGACGTGAGTATAAATAAATTTGCTGTCGAATTGGTGAGCTTTACTAAAATATTTTTTCGCTTGCAGAAAACACCCGGCGATCATCGTTGGGATGAGACACCTGGCCACAAGGGCAGCGAGACACCGGGTGCTACGCCTGGATTGGGCACACGCATCTGGGATGCCACACCGGCACATGCCATGACACCCGGCCACGAAACGCCTGGCCATGAAAAGTCGGCACGCAGAAATCGTTGGGATGAAACACCAAAGACAGAACGTGAAACTCCCGGGCACAGCGGCTGGGCAGAGACGCCGAAGCCGGACCGCACTGGTAGCGGCGCTGGTGAGAGCATCTCTATTGAATCTACTCCGGGCGCTTCCAAGCGACGGTCACGCTGGGATGAGACACCATCGAATGCAACGCCGGCAATTACACCCAGCAATGCCAGCGCAATGACCCCCAGCATGACGCCGCATGCAACGCCTGGCCATGCCACACCTCTAATGACACCCGGTGGCAGCACGCCAGTGGGTGTAAAGGCAATGGCCATGGCCACACCCACACCAGGAGCACTAGCTGCCATGACACCGGAGCAACTACAAGCCTATCGCTGGGAAAAGGAGATCGATGAGCGTAATAGACCCTACACTGACGAGGAGTTGGATCAAATGTTTCCACCGGGCTACAAGATATTGCCGCCGCCTGCAGGGTACGTGCCACTGCGAACGCCGGGTCGCAAGCTGATGGCCACACCCACGCCCATAGCAGGCACACCAGCTGGCTTCTTTATCCAAGTGGAGGACAAGAATGCCAAGTTTATGGATAACCAGCCGAAAGGCCAGAATCTGCCGTTCATGAAGCCCGAGGATGCTCAATATTTTGACAAGCTGCTCGTGGATGTGAATGAGGATGCATTGTCCCCCGAAGAGCTTAAGGAGCGCAAGATCATGAAACTCTTGCTGACCATTAAGAACGGATCGCCGCCTATGCGAAAATCGGCTCTGCGACAGATGACGGACAAGGCGCGCGAATTTGGCGCGGGGCCGTTATTCAATCAAATTCTGCCGCTGCTTATGTCGCCCACTCTCGAGGATCAGGAGCGGCATTTGCTAGTAAAAGTTATCGATCGCGTGCTTTACAAACTGGATGATCTGGTGCGTCCGTTTGTGCACAAAATTTTGGTGGTTATTGAACCGCTGCTTATTGACGAGGACTACTATGCGCGCATTGAGGGCAGAGAGATTATTTCGAATCTGGCCAAGGCAGCCGGCTTGGCTACCATGATCTCCACAATGCGTCCGGACATCGACAATATTGACGAGTATGTGAGAAATACGACTGCGCGTGCCTTTGCCGTGGTCGCTTCCGCATTGGGCATACCCTCGCTGTTGCCCTTCTTGAAAGCCGTTTGCAAATCCAAGAAGTCCTGGCAAGCCCGCCACACGGGTATCAAAATTGTGCAACAGATCGCTATACTTATGGGCTGCGCTATATTACCACATCTGAAGGCGCTGGTGGAGATTATTGAGCATGGCCTAGTTGATGAGCAGCAAAAAGTGCGCACCATCACGGCGTTGGCCATAGCAGCGTTAGCCGAAGCCGCCACACCCTATGGCATTGAGTCTTTCGATTCGGTGCTCAAGCCGCTATGGAAGGGTATCCGGACGCATCGTGGCAAGGGATTAGCCGCCTTTCTCAAGGCCATTGGCTATCTTATACCCCTGATGGATGCCGAATATGCCAACTACTACACACGTGAGGTCATGTTGATTCTTATCCGTGAGTTCCAGTCGCCCGACGAGGAGATGAAGAAGATTGTGCTTAAGGTGGTGAAACAATGCTGTGCCACAGATGGTGTGGAGCCGCAGTATATCAAAGAGGAGATTCTTCCGCACTTTTTCAAGTTCTTTTGGAATCATCGTATGGCCCTGGACAGACGCAATTATCGCCAGCTAGTGGACACCACCGTAGAAATTGCCAACAAAGTGGGCACTTCCGAGATTATCAATCGTGTTGTAGACGATCTCAAGGATGAGAATGAACAGTATCGTAAAATGGTAATGGAAACAGTGGAGAAGATTATGGGAAATCTAGGAGCGGCTGATATTGATTCACGCCTGGAAGAGCAGTTAATTGATGGCATACTATATGCTTTCCAAGAGCAGACCACAGAGGATGTGGTCATGCTGAATGGCTTCGGCACCATTGTCAATCAGCTGGGTAAACGCGTCAAACCGTATCTGCCACAGATTTGCGGTACCATTCTCTGGCGTCTGAACAACAAATCCGCCAAGGTGCGTCAACAGGCAGCGGATCTCATCTCACGCATTGCTGTGGTCATGAAGACCTGCCAGGAGGAGAAACTGATGGGCCATTTAGGTGTCGTGCTCTACGAATACTTGGGCGAGGAGTATCCCGAAGTATTAGGTAGCATATTGGGCGCCCTGAAGGCGATTGTGAATGTCATTGGCATGACCAAAATGACGCCGCCTATCAAGGATCTGCTTCCCCGTCTCACGCCCATCCTCAAGAACAGGCACGAGAAGGTACAGGAGAACTGCATCGACTTGGTGGGTCGCATTGCCGATCGTGGACCGGAGTATGTGTCTGCCCGCGAATGGATGCGCATCTGCTTTGAGCTGCTGGAGCTGCTTAAAGCACACAAGAAGGCGATCCGTCGCGCCACAGTAAACACCTTTGGTTACATAGCCAAGGCAATTGGTCCACACGATGTGCTTGCTACCCTGCTGAACAACTTGAAGGTCCAAGAGCGACAAAATCGTGTCTGCACCACCGTCGCCATTGCCATTGTGGCCGAGACGTGTCGCCCCTTCACAGTGCTTCCGGCTCTGATGAATGAATACCGTGTACCGGAGTTGAATGTACAGAATGGTGTGCTGAAATCGTTATCCTTCTTGTTCGAGTACATTGGCGAGATGGGCAAGGACTATATCTATGCAGTGTGTCCGCTGCTCGAGGATGCGCTAATGGATCGCGATTTGGTGCATCGCCAGACAGCCTGCTCTGCCATCAAGCACATGTCCCTGGGCGTCTATGGTTTTGGCTGCGAGGATGCTCTGACACATTTACTCAACTATGTGTGGCCCAACATCTTTGAGACATCGCCACATCTGGTGCAGGCCTTCATGGACTCGGTGGATGGCCTGCGCGTCTCATTAGGTTCAATTAAGATCTTGCAATACACCTTACAAGGTCTGTTCCATCCGGCGCGTAAGGTGCGCGATGTTTACTGGAAGATCTACAATTCGCTGTACATTGGCGGCCAAGACGCGCTCATTGCGGGCTATCCTCGGATCACCAACGATCCGAAGAACCAGTACGAACGCTACGAACTGGACTACACGCTCTAAGCAGCCTCCTCTTACCCTCCTCCTCAATAACCCTTAATTTTATTGTAATTTTGATAAGATGAATACACAAATATAGCACGAATGTACAAAACGAGTATTTATTCTACATTTTTTAGAGTAGCCACGTGCGAGCCGTAGCTACTGTGGACCAGAGCTGTAATCTGTATGTATATATGTTTATCATTAATTGCCAGGAAGTACATTTAAATACCAGGAATTTCAGATTGATAAACTTTAATTACCAATTTGATTTGATTACTTCTTCTAATTACCGGAAATTACTTGAAATATATTTAATTACCAACAATTACTTGCAAATAATGTAGGAATTATTGAGCAATTGTTAAGGAATTTATTTCATTGCATCAAATGAATATGAACTTTTACTATGTAATTAATTTTATATTAATTCCGTAATTACTTTTGTGTAAATGCAGTTTAATACTAGCAGTTATGTATGCCTATTGCATTGGTAATTAAAGTTTAGTCTACTTGTATGCAGTTATTAGTTAATTACTTTTCAATTACATATTTAATTCAATGAGTAATGGTATTTCACTTTTGGCTTCGCTACTGAGCAATAGTAAAGTAATGGTAATTAAACTTGATTTATCAAGTAATTAAAGTTTGCCAAACGGTCTTTTCTTTTCAACTAGTTAATTACAGCTCTGCTGTGATCTAATCTTTTGGCTTAGTATTAATACAAATGTGTGTTGGACCCGCGGTTGAGGAGTCTCTCGGTGCCTGCTATCGATGGAGCATCGCTTCGACTATATCGATGAGGCTCTGCAGTCCAAACATATAATTATGATCCGGTTGCGCATCTTCGGCCGGGAAGATGTGTGCAAAGTCGATGCAACGTACGCGTATCCATTGCTTTGATTTGGTGGGCGGGATAGGATCTGAGGCATCCCCATGGAAGCCGTTGTGCTGCGACACTTTGGAGTTGGATGTGGCCAATTTCTGTAGCTGCTCGAAGTCGTAACAGATGAGCAGAGAGCTGGCATAGAAGTGAAGTAAACGCTGTCGCTTAAACCAGTTGCGTATGGACCGCAGCTGATTGAGCACCTCGTGGAGAAGTATATCGCTGGAGCTGCAGTTGGCATTGAAGAAAAGCGCCAATGCCTTATGAAAGCCCATCACATCCAGACTTTTGCCATAGTCTCGACCCTTTCGAATCAGTATAGTTTGTTCGGGTTGCTCTTCATCTGGGCAATAGACCTGAAAGCCGGGCAGGCAAAGGCCCAGATTCTGTTTGCATAGCACATACTTTTGCTCTTCGATGGCGCGCTTCTGCGCCGATGACAATGGATCCCAGGTGCGTCGGCCGATTTTTACATCCATGACACACGGTTTGGCCATGCCGTGTGTCAAATCTTCCAATTTGATAAATGTGTGCTCACGCTGATTAACAACCAGTTTGAGTTGGCCGTAATAGCGGGGGACGTGAGCTGCTAAGGCGGCGAGCAGTGACTGATCCGTTTCGCATTTCCCTTCACCTGTGCCATTCAGGTTATTGGCACCTGCGCCTGCATTGGCTTGTGTCGCAATTGCCGCCGCCAGTGACTCATAGAAATTGAGTTCACGCACGCCGCACTCAGGTTTGCCGAGCGGCTTGAAAACGCGGCCCTCGCCAGCATCTTGGAGAAGTCCGACGGCTGCCGCGTTGCTCGCTTCGAATGTGTGGCCAGCCACCTGGGTGAGCAGCTGAGAGTAGCCCATGGGTACAACGGGCGAGGCTGTTACCTTTTCTTGTGCTTTTTTGGCCATGTTCCGTCTGTCTGGCACCCAAAATCAAAAGCGACAGCAACAACTGCAGGAAAAACAGCGCAAAAACCAGAACAGTGTTGTGAAGTGCAGAACTGATAATAATAGTGGTTTTCTTAACTGGTTAAGCTCAGAAAAAACTGAAAACTGAAGCAAATGAGAAAAATAAATAATTGTAAGTTACTTTAAACTCTTGCAAATGCGTCTTAAGTTAAAGTGCAGCTCCTTACTTATGGCGGCAATTTACGAAAATCAGTGTTGAAAACTCTCTGCAGCAACTTGTTGTGCAGTAATCGTTATCGAGCAGTCGCCATCGATATCGGTCGCTGCTGTTGTGGGAGTTGTCCAATTTGTGTTGTTGCTTTTATAGGCATTTAAAAAGTTTATTTACCAATTTGTTATTGCATTTTATTATTGACTTAGCTTACAGAATTTACTGTGAGCAGCACTATGAAATCCTGGGAAATAGCTGTGTTGCTGCTAGCCGCCGCTTATCTGTGCAGTCAAGGTATGTTTACAGCCACACCTTAATTAAGAAACAAACGCAATGACACATGTGAAACATTTGCAGTGGATTTCGTACAGGGACTAGAGTGCTATGTGTGCTCCAATCAGACGGGCAACACAGAGAAGTGCCTCAACACGATCAAGACCTGTGAACCATTTGAGAATGTCTGCGGCACTGAAATACGCTGGGGCAGTCAGCCCTACTTCTCCGAGGGCGCTCTCAAGCAATATTATGTCTCCAAGCGCTGCATGACCAAGGAGCAATGCCAGTCGAAGCGCCGACGCTATATGCAAATGTATTGCACACACATCTGGTACGAGGATTGGGCATGCAACGAGTGCTGTCAAGGCGACAGGTGTAACTACTTCATTATCGTAAGTTGGGCGCTGGCCTAGGTTCTGTTTCCTTACTAAAATGCTAAATCTTGCAGAGCGGTGCGACGGGTCAGCAAAGCCACATGGTTAAGTTCTTAGCTCTATTACTGGGCGTTGGACTGCTCATAAGACGTACCATAATGCCTTAGAGCTCAAATGAAGCTAATATTCGGCATTGTCTGTTACGCACATTCACATTCCAAGGAAGCTAAGTAATCGTAATTTTAAATGTAATTGTAATACCTTCTCATTTTGTCCACTAGTTAGTAGTTACCACCGTATGCCGTCCATTTTATGTACATTTTGTATGTAGCTGACAAGCTCAAAGTGCCTTCACGCTCTCTTTTTTATGTATCTAAGGCTTGTTAAAGTTTTTAGTTTATATTTTAGATTGCAGAGGATTTTTAGATTGTATTTTATATATTCGCTCTTTATATATATGTCTGATATATACAGTGCAAAAGATTTCAGATATTATCTGTTTACATTAAATCTTCTTGTGATCACAATGTATCAAAAGAAAATGTTTGCTTCTTTAGTAAAAGCTCAGATGCCTGTTTCTGCTTTGCAATCTACAAATATAAGCTAATACTTTAACTTGTCCTTATTAGTGTTTAGTAAACGTACTCGAATCAAACAAAATTCTCGAAGATATTTAACACAAACCTTTTTTGGGTAACGATTTTTGAAATAGATAAACGTACAAACAGCTAAATAAAGCAACTTTGGTGTTTTCTTTAAGCGGTCTCTTGTGCAATTGTTTATATATTATATTTTGTATAGATCATAAAAGTTAATCATTTAGCTAGTTGGTGCAGAAGCAGCCTGCAGTGACGGTCACCGTCTTGAATTGCCATTGCCAGGGCTGTGTCAGCTCCTCGGGCATCCAGAGACGCGCTGGTGACGAAGCCACCTTTGGTGGCAGCTGGTCGGGAGCCAACGTTAGGACTTTCACCTTATACTCGAGCGGCTTGCAGTTGGAGCCTTGAGTGCACTTGGCATCTAGAGCTGGACGGGACTCGCAGATGGCGCTCATCAGATAGCGCGGAAAAGACGTGCTGCCCAAATCAATGAGATCGTTCTGCATAAACACAAATTTGAATATTTCTGTTATTAGGGCCTTCATCTCGGCTTACCATAACTTTGCAATCACAGCCGGCGGCATGTGCATCATTCCGTTTGCTGGTCAGCAAATCCTCGTAGAAATCATTGTAGTACATCGGTGGCAGTTGGTAGGGCGTCAGTGCCGCCTCCGTTGGACGCATAGTGGGTGACACAGCACCCTTATCGGCTGTGCGGCCAAAGAGCGCATTTAACATTTTGGATGTGCTTTGATCAGCCTCCGGTTCGACTGCATCAACTGGCTGTTCGCTGCCTCCATCACTGCCAACGCCGCCGCACTCTTGGACGCCCAGTAAACGACTGCAACGCTTGGGCATGCTGCGGGCGAGCATTGGAGCGGTCAGTTCGTCGTAGGCAACAAGCCGATTGCTGCTGACTGTGCAGCGCAGCGCCAGCGCCGCTAGCAAAGTGGCCATCTGCAAGCAAATTGTTGCATTAGTACACTGAGAGAAAACGTTGCACATATGTATTTCATGTCTTGATTTGAGCATATTCCTGTATTAGATCATATTTGCAGAAATTGTGGACTAGTTACAATGTTTTTATATACAGCAAATCTTGAACTTTGCTCTTAATTTTCTTTTCTTATTTAAAAGTTTAAATTTCTATTCTATAAGCACTTTTTCATTTGGGATAAAATTTATTTGAAAAATTTATTTTGAGATTTTGAACTTTATTCTTAATTTTCTTTTCTTATTTAAAAGATTAAATTTCTATTCTATAAGCACTTTTTCATTTGGGATAAAATTTATTTGAAAAACTTATTTTGAAATTTTGAACTTTGTTCCTAATTTTGTTTTCTTATTTAAAAATTTAAATTTAAAATTTCTATGCAATAAGCACTTCTTCATTTGGACTAAAAATTAATTGAAAATTTTATTTTGAGTGCAAACATTTTCTAAAATATTTATACTTAATGTGGCTTTGTTTAATTAGATGTATTTCATAAGGTTTGTTTTGCTGTTTTTGAAATGAAAAATATTACAAAATTAAGCATAGTTTTGGAGCTTTAAAACTTATATATATATAATATATATCTCTAATAGTTTTACGACTTCAAAGGTCTTGAATTTGTGGCCTCAATGTGCAAGAGTAAGATAAATTCTAAACACGTTTGAGTTTGATTTAAGATTTTAGAAGTTAAGTTTTGGTTTAGTTGAGTGGAAACTGAAAAGTTTTCCAACTCAAAAGGTTTAAGTACACATGAAATACGTTTTAAGTATTTCACTAATTAAGATTAGCAACTTTTTGTTGCTTAATTTAAAAACATTTCACTTTAAACTCGAGCTTAACACTGCTAGATCGAAATTAGAGTCTAAAATTGTTCAATACTTTTCACTATTTGCCGTGTTTGACTCACCCAGAGCATGGCTGGAACCGAGCTGCTGCCGAGTTTGGCTACTTTTGCGACTCTGATGGCGCTGGTGGGGCGTTTATATAGCCGCTGGCCAGCTGGCTGAACAAAGGCGGCCAAATGCTCGGATTACCTTTTGTGTGGGCCAGGCATGTCCATTATGGCCCGTCACCTGGACAGCATTTCCAGTGTGGCAGTGGCAACAGTAGCGGGAGCTGGCACAGCATCCGAGCCAAACAAAAGGCTCAACTGTTGACATAATAACAAAAGACTCTGGTGGTTGGGGTGCGGTTGGCCCCAAGTGTGGAGTGCCTATTTATAGCTGGACACTGGCTTTAAGTTTCAGCTACTTGAAGTGTTTATGCGTTTGCTAAAAAAAAGAAGGAAGAAGTAGCAACAAAAAGTGGGAATACCCAGTGACCCAGACATTTGTAACCGCCAACCACCCAACCACTCAGCAGCCAGCAGGCTAATAGCGACACTATGAGCTCATGGACTGCGCGTCTAGCACTAAAAAGTCAGGTGCATTTGCTGCTGCCCCAAGGGGTAGGTGCTAAGTGTGTGCGTGTGTGCGTGTGTGGGTGTGAGTGTGTGCGTGTGTGTGGCAGCTAGTTGTGGGGCTTCACTGTATGACGATAAAGTCGCGCAAACGCCAATCCACCCAGCGGCTCGTCAGTTGAATGCGCGTCGTTGCCCCGCACGGTGGGGCGCAGATATATACTATATATATAGCTAAATCTATTTATATATATATATATATATATATGTATATACCGTTTACAGTTGGACATGCACTGGCAGACACGTGCAAGCGCTGCTCAAACTGTTTGCGTTAAGGAGTTAAAGACCAGGACGATTGCCAAAAATATTTTCAGCTGAGAGAAAGTTTCGTGTTGTTATTGTTGTTGTTGCTGGAGCGCGTACAGTTATCCGCTTGACTTGGTGCAGGGGCGGAAGCCCTAGTTGTGTTGCCCCCTTGTTCTTGTTGCTGTTGTCGCTGGAAATCGTTAAAAAGCATAGAAAAGTTGCGACTATGTCACGAATCGTCGACTAAAAACCACGCTAGAAGAGCAAAGATAGATCTTTATACCAAGTCGCAGCCCAGTTGGCACTCAGGATACGCATGGACAAAGGCACAATGAAGCGCAAGCAGCGTCGATACAGGTGAGTGAGGCTGCCAGTTACAGGTGAGCGTTGTGTCTAACGAATGCCTCTGATCCACAGAACCACATTCAACACACTGCAGCTGCAGGAGCTGGAACGCGCCTTCCAGCGCACTCACTATCCGGACGTATTCTTTCGCGAGGAGCTGGCCGTGCGCATCGAACTGACTGAGGCACGCGTTCAGGTCTGGTTTCAGAACCGTCGAGCCAAGTGGCGCAAGCAGGAGAAGCAGGGCGGCGAGTATGAGAAGGGCGCCGGACTCGAGCTGGATGTGGCATTCGATGATAGCGCCGTGCTGGGTCAACTGGACAGCGCACTGGGTGAGTCGTTGGTTGGGCGATGATCAAGCAGAACATGGTCTAATGAGCTTTCGTTGGCAGCTGGCGGGGGCACGCTGCTGCCGGACACGCCGCCGCAGTCTTCCAATTCGCTGGACAACGAGCTGAAGGCGCCATTTGGCACAGGCTGTGTCTCGCCGTCCAGGCTGTCGCCCAACATCTTTCTCAATCTGAACATTGATCACTTGGGCCTGGAGCGTGGCGGCAGCGGCCTGTCCATGGAGTGGTCCACTTACCCGCCGTCCACAAGCGCCGCGCATGCCACACATCAGCACCAGCAGCAGCAGCAGGAGCAACAACAGCAGCAGCAGCAACAGCAACAAATGCAGCAACAGTCGCATCAGCAATCGGAACAGCAACAGGTCTGCACGCTGCAGCATCAGGCGCTGGCAAGCGCCTTCGGCGCCTCTCTCGATCTGGATCTGAACGAAGGCTCCTCGGCCTACGATGAGATGAAGTTTCTCAGCGTGGATCAGTTCACGATCGACAGCTTCAAGGCGGACTGCATACTCAGCATGGAGCACAGCCTGGCGCTGGATGACAAGCAGCAGCAGCCGCATACACTGATCAATTCGACGACCTTCGAGTCGCAGGATAATGCTGCACTGCATTCACTGTGCCTCGACGGCATGGGCGTTGGCTTCGGCGGCCTCTCACTGCTCTCCACCCACGTTGCGGACATTGCGGCTGAAGCGGCACCCAGGTCGCCGCCCTCGCTGCTGGTGCTAGACAAGACGCTGCCCTCGCTGAGCATCGGCGTGGATGGCATCAGTGAGCTGGTGGAGCAGCTACAGCAGCATCACCAACAGCATCATCATCATCCGCATCAGCATCAGCATCAGGATGTTGGCGTGGGCGGCAGCGACATAGTCTAATCGCAAAATTTTTGATTAAGCTAGACGAATTCATTAAGCATAGTTCATGTTGTACGATTCTAGCTATAATTATGGATGCATATGCTCTTTTCAATATGCGATGGGAGTTAACTTGATATCCGTCTAAAGTGGTTTGCAGCGCAGAGAGTTCTAGTGTTAACAAGATATTCTATATACTTGATATATATAATGAGATTATATTCCTCTTTCGATGAATTCTAATCTCCAACGATTCTAATTTTGATGCTTCATCAAAACACTTTGAGAAAGTCTTATATCATATGGTTTAGTTAGGTCAATGTTATTATTGAAAAGAGCATTTCGTCTTCGGCTTGCGTCGAGGTTAAACTTAATGTAATTCCTAGGTCATTTACCTAGGCGAATTCTAAATATAGCTAATGTTATACTATTGTAGATATGATTTTTAGCTAACAAGCTGATATGGTTTATATATATGTATATATATAATCTGTAAAGACTTGCACGTTTAACTTGCCGCACTTTTTTATATTCTGTAAAGTTTAGCTTTAATTTAAGCAACTTTATACGAAGGACACTCAGGAAAGCCTCGAAGCCTGAGCACATGAATTTCAAGTTATAAAACGAATTGATTCATGCACACGGAGAGTTTGGGTTTACTAAACAGCAATTTCTGTGAATCGTCTCGAGCTTTCAATTCTGTCGAATCGCAGATATCAACCTCTAGCTGTGAAGGACTACAAATCGTATTTACATATATGCATAGAGAGCATGAGCGAGCAGCGAATTCTGTGAAAATCTCTGAAAATCTGTGAAAGTTTCAGTAATCTGCTCAAGTAAAATCTTTTTTACTATTGCTACGACATTTCTTGCAGTGTATTTAAGTTAAATTCGTTTTTAAATAGTTTTTCTCTGGAAGCTTAGCTGCGATTCGTTTCCATATAAAACAGTTTTAACGCCTACTGCGAGTTTTAAATATAAATAAGAAAGCTTGCGACATGTCCTTGCTGCTCAACTAGCGCTCACTCGCTCTTTCCCTCCCTCCCTCTCTCTTGCTCTCTCCCTCTGCCTCACAAGGCTTAGCATTGCTTTCTGCCATACCTTGAGCTGTTATCGTGCCTAGCTCCTGCTTCTAAGGATTCCCTTGCACACTCAACTGTCTGTGCGTGTGTGTGTGTGTGTGTGTGTCGTAACAATGGACACCCCCAACCGTGTTTCATTTGGTATTTGTGGGTCGGATTAGAGCCAAAACTAATTGTATGATTTGTATGATGAATGGTTTTCGGGTTTCTCCAGTTTGTTTGCTTGCAAATAACATTTGCTTTTTCCAACAATTGCATTGGACTCTACCAGCATCACTGCAAACGACGTGTGCCCCACTTTTAGCACCTGGCTGTAATTTCCATTTAGCGTATCCCCAGTCATAAGCTAATAAGGCCTGAGCCGGGCAGCCAAGCTGCATGGCCTTGGGCAGCAGGTGGAGCCCAGTCGGAGCTTTATAAATAAGCCCAGCGACGCGATCCCTCGGCTCGGGCATTAACACCTTGCACTAAGCTCTTTGTGGATTTGTCTGTGCGCCCGACTCACAGTATTCCAGCTTATAGCCGGCTAATTGCGGCTGGGGCTGATGCACTCGACCCGGCGGAGTCCACCTGGCCACAGCTTCATCCCGAAAAATACAAAAAAAATGTTATTAATCCAGTTCGCTCGGTTGCCATTGGATAAGCCCCGTCGAAAAATGCCCAATAAAGTGCGCTGGGGTTTGATGGCGGTCTGGTCTGGTCCCTGATCCTGGTCCCCGTCAGGCATTGATCGAACCCTTTCACCTTTTACACTTCCCTCAGTTTGGGCTTTCTAAAACCTGTCAGACATGCACACATGATTTGAAATTAATCGAAAATGTTTCGTGCATGTTTTAAAGGATACGTCGTTGCTGAATTCAAAGCACTTCAGGCTGTATGCACAAGGACCACAAACTTTAATCGATAGTCAAATAAGCGTTGAGCAGCACCAGAGTCAAGTCTGGCCAAGTCTGGCCACGTGTGTGTGTGTGTGTGTCGCCTGCAAGGATAACAAGCAGCTGCCTTGCACACTGCACCTTCTCCCTCTCTCTCTCGCTTGGCCTGTTTCTCTCTTTCACACACTCTTCTATTGTTTGCTGTAATTTCTCTAACGTTTGTTTATATTTTATATCGAATTCGCCTCGGGCCGCATAAACGCAATAATCGCACATTTTATGGATTAAACTCACCTGCTCACCTGCTAATCTATTAAAAATTTACCGCCAGCACCAAAAATGTCTGCTTTGTGCGTTCAGCTATAATTGAAGTTTTTCATTTCTCTTTTCTCCCTATCAATGACATGGTCGAGCTGCATTGCATGGAGTCTTGTGTTTTGGCATAGAAAAAGAAAAGTTGAAATTGGTTATGCTCTGCTTTAAGATAGAGACTTTTTTCTGGAATTTTGAGAGATGCAGATGGAATTTTTCATAAATTTTATTTGCCCAAAAAATTAATGTTATAAATTAGTTTAGCAGATTTTTAAGAGACTTTTAGTGAAAAATTTATGGCGATAACTTATTTAATGTAGATTTCAGAATTATGAACTCAGCTGCAAGACTTATTTATATAGTCAACTATATACTTTTTATATACTTAACTAGTCCTATGTGCTTACTTTGAGCTTCCACTAAATGATCGTGGCATCTAGACAACAAAGAACTGCTATAAAAGGAATATAAATATATATTTATAAAACTACATAAGAAAATATTAATTAGTTATTAAAGAGCTTAACTCTAAATATTATTAATAAATTCCGTTGAATGACTGATTGTTGGAAAAACTATGAAATTGACAGACTTTGATGAGCACTTTTAACTATTGCATAGCTGCCTCCTTTCTGATTAACGGCTGCTTAATCAACTCACAATATATGATTGACTGATTGAATAATAGACAGATAGACTCTCACAACTTACTTATTGACTGACTGCTGGGGTTCTAGTCTCACAGATTGATTGAGACATATAAAACTGGTAAGAGGCAAAGCAAATAGTCAAATAAGATTTACAAGCCTTCCGACTAACCAATAATCAAAGCAAAGTGCAATTTCTATAACTATTCTCAACGACAACGGCTTGACGATTGAAGATCAATTAATTTACATGAAACTGCCATTCAATATACATAACCAAAGTATTACGCTGTAGAAACAGTTTCAGTCAGAGTATTTTAGAATGAATTAATAATGGGTTTGGGTTGAAAAAAAGAGGCGGATATATCGAAATATTCGAAATCAGAAATCAGAGCCTTTAACCAAATGAGTTATTCATTATGGAGTTATTCATTTGAGAGCGAGTCAGCGCGCTCTGTCGACGGAATATTAAATAATGAAATATTAAAATCAATGTGCAATGTGTTTGTATGGTGTGGGCGCGCTGCGTGGGCGTGGCAGTGTTCACATTGCCCAGTCCGCAGCAAACGAGAAGGTGTTCATGTGAATAAATTGCAATTAACAATATTATTTTTTATTTCAACAAACGAAACGCTGAAGCTATCCGTCATTTACACAGGGACTCGCACATAAAAAACGGCTCTCATTTAATTAAAGGCAAATTTAATGGGTAAATATTTCATGTGCCACACATAATGGTCTTTATGCATATACACACACATATGTATATGTATATATGTGTTTAAATGGGGGTAAAAAAAATATGACGCTTAAATGTTGGTATAATTTTTATTTTAAAAACAAAAACTTTATGCGCTGTGTATGCCATGTAAATATGATGTAAAGGATATGGCGGGGGAGCATACAGCAACGTATATTAAATTTCGTGTTGATAGAGTCGAAAAAAAAGACAAAAAAAGAGAGGAAGCAAAATAATAAAATACGAAGCGTGCACTAGAAAAACAAAAGAAATCAAATTGAGTAAAGAAATCAAAATTAATAGACTGCAAATATTTGTAAATTTTTACACGAACTATTAACAAGGCTCACACAAGCTGAGACCGAAAATTAAGGGTAGCCTGAAATACGAGACTCGAGATGTCATTGACAGGAACGGATCCAAATAGTAAAAGCAGAAAAGCAGAGACCTATGCAAATAGTCTGTGTTAGTGAGGGACGGGGCATACAAAATGGCGACGGCAACGAAATCAAACATGGATGGTATAGGGGTGGGGGGCCAGTGTGATGCGTGGAGAATAAATTTGAATTTTGGTCACCTGACATGAACTCTAGAACTGGTCAAAGGAAAATAACAAGACAAAGATGTCAAAAAAAAAAAAAATACACACAAAACAAAGGACAACACACATGACAAAACTGGTCAAGATGGCAACTTCGATAGCGAATGGCATGACAACAACAACAGCAGCAGTAATAGCAACAACAAATAACGGCAAAAACGCTGGCACGACAAAGTCATTGTTAAAATGTCCATTCAACTGTAAATTGCAAAATACAAAACAAGTAGCTGAAGCGAGGCGGCTGAAGAAGAGCAGGCTGAAAGTAGCTTGACAAGTGCCGTTACTAAAATGCTAGAAAAGGGCTCTATATGCTAGACAGAGATAGCTGCATTGCAAAAGTATGCTTATATGTATTTGTGTGAGTGTGTTGGTATATTGCAAAAATGCAAATGAAATCAGACAACAGTTGAAACAAGCTAAAGAAGAAGAACAAGCAGCAGCGAGCGTAACAGAGATGGCAGATTGCGGCAAATACACTTCAGAATAATAGCAATAGCTTGTTGGTTAGGCGACGATATGTTATTTAAATAGATGAAAGACAAATTGAAGTCCTGTGTTAAACATTTGTATTATAAATACCTTATACATGCATACAAATCCATGTTATACTTACCTAAAGTCCACAACTTCTAACTTTTTCTCTAAGTGTAACTCATATATGTAGCTAATGGATATAGATATGCAGCACACACCTAAATGGCTTGCCTTGTGGGCTGCCATATCAATGCCTTTTAGCTATGCATATCTATATAGCTATCTTTATATATACCCAAAGCTCAATGGCATCTATTTCTACCTCCTTTTCCAGCTATTGGCATGTAAATTGGTTTTGGTTCTTGTTGTCAAAAGGATTCCCCTTAAGTGCGCCCATTTGCTATTGACCAAGCATTGGCCTCTGGCTTTTGCCCTTGCCGACCTGAAATTTGTATCTTGGCCAGAAGTTTTGGGATGCCATGTATTATGTTTTTCAAGAGGCGTGTCTCGAATCAGGTGTGAACCAACACGTAGCGGGTCTTCTCCAGCTGCCGATGAACTTTGAGAGTGTAATAAAAAATTCATTTTCTCAGTTTTTTGCTTGATTTCTTTTGGTTTGGTTTTTTATTATTTAAATTTTTTGTTTTGTTTGTTTGTGTTTTAATAATTTAAATTTAACATTACATTTATTTAGACTGTTATTGGCTTATCGCTATCGGTTATCGATAAGTTTACACTTACAATTTAATATGCGCTTTAGTTTTAGACAGGGGAACACAAGACAACTAGATAAAAATTCACATGCACGCACACACAGACACACTCTCGCACACACACACATACATTTAGTAACTGTACATTTGGCTAATTCTCTTACTGCTTTCACTTCAACAACTTAAAATAATAACAAGTTTTTCTCTTTGTTGTCTTCTCATTTTCTTACTTATTTATATACAAAACAAAATTTAGTTTGAAGCGCAGCTGCAAATATATTTACAGTTATTGAAGTTGGCTTGTCTTAGCTTAGCTTAGGCCACCTCCAGATCGGAGGATTCGTCCGCATCGCTATAATGGTTCGGATCGCTTTTGATGTGCACCAACGGCGATGCGTAGTCGCATTTGATGCCGGCGTTGCCAGCTGTCGGTGAGCTCGTGTTGCCAGAACTATTGTTGTTGCTGTTTGTGTTGGTGTTGTTGTTGTTGTTGCTGCTGTTGCTGGTGGTGCTGCCGCATTGCTCCTCCTGTAGCTTACGCAAACGCTCCTGCTCCTCGCGCTTCTGTTTACGCCACTTGGCACGACGATTCTTGAACCAGACCTAAAGAGAGAGAGAGAGAGAGAGATAGAAGTAGAGTGAGTGGGTGAGAGGAGGCAAAATCTTGGCTTAGTCTAGGTAACCTTTGATATGGCTTCAAAAACACTTTCATCCGTTTTTCAAATTATATTTTCCATTATGCCCGACCCGCTCGACTGTAAATATTTTAATGTTTTTCTTTTTTCTTCATCTGCTTCTTCTCCACATTTTCTATGGCTGCTCCTTTGATTTTCTGGTTTATCTGCGCCCAGTCAGTTGCCTGACAACGCCCCCAACGCCTGTTTCCTGCCGCTCGTATTCCGCCTAATTAGTTAGCTTATTGTAACTGTAATTAATGTGTGGGGGGAGATATAAATATATATATATATTTATATATATATATATATATGTATGTGTGTTTGCTCTTATATATATAAAAAATGTGGCTCGTTTTCCGCTTGCTGAATCGTATATTTGGGCACTTTTTAATTAGGCGCAGACCACACCCACTCGCCGAGGACGGCCCGGCCAACCCTTTTCTACTTAGTTAATTAAAACAAAAGCTACAGTCAACTGACTTAGGGGTTAATTTGCTACGGTTAAAAGGGCGCTGAGTGTGTGGGTGGGGCAGAGCCACTCAACCTCTCTCGCTTTCTCTCACTCTCGCGCTGAGCATCTGCTACGCGTATCTCTTGTCATTTTGGCTACTGTTTTTGTTGTTGTTGTTGCTGCTGTTGTTGTCTCATTGGCAACGGGGTGGAGCCAAATAAACTCAGCTCTGGCTCTCGCCCAATCCCATTGCCAAATGCCAATTGCAGTTGTTATTTTGCAACCCCCAAAATGCTTTTTATTATTGTTTGTTAAATAAATACTCGAATTGTTGTTCCTGTTCTTGTTGTTGTTTGCAATTGCAATTGTTGTTTTGAGACAACATCCAAAAAAGTTTAATGAGAAAAATTAGAGCTTTTTTCGTTATATTTTTGTTTTTTAAGTTCAAATTTTTGCTTTTGTTTTCATTGCGCGTGAAAAGTTTTGCGACTGCCACGCCCCTACTGCCTGAAACGGTACAATATTTATGCAGCAAATCGACTAAATTCTGTTGAAATAACAGTGAACGGCAGCTGCTCTGGGCTGCACCAATGACAGCCCAGTGCAGTGCAGTGTTGGAAAATGCGCTAAACTCATAAATAGAGCAGAGCAGAGCGTAGCCGTGTGCCCCAACATGAAAATAGAACACAGATCTGCTTGAGCTCATTTAAGTTTACACAAATTTTGTGTAAATTTGTGCAGCTGTTACCTGTGAGAGAGTGGAGAGTGAGAGCTGGAGGAGGTGGGGGTGGGCGGTTGGCTTATTTGCTTAGGATGGCAGTAAAATGGCGGCGCCCTGGCAACCTTTGAACTGAGCTCAGCTCGACAACGCTGCCAATTTACCTTTGAAGTGTGTGAGTGTGTGTCTGGCTGTGGGCATGGTCACGCCTCGCTGCAGCTGTCAGAATGCATTTGTGACAAAATTTAATAACGCAATCTAATGAATTTTTGAATTCAATTTTACAAATGGCCTACAGCAACAGCTGTGTGTGTGTGTGTGTGTTTGTTTTGCTCTATTTATTTTCATAATTTTATAATTTTATGAGCTTAAGTTATTAAAACAACTCACACACTCACATAGAAATAATCTGAAGCGATTTTAATGCATTTTTCAAAACATCAAAAAAACAAAATAATTTAAAAAAATTTAGTTTGAACAGCTAGCAAATACCCTGTACATTACTTAAATCACTTTCTGCATAAATACTTGAATATATAAACGATTATTGCTTACTTTTCTGCTAGCAGATAATCAAAGGTATATTTAGCTTGTTAGCTGGAAGCAGACTTTACTGTGTATATAAAGATTTTAATATATGTTTATAAAAAGCTCAATTCATTCGCCTTGCCTCTAAAGGCAAGCATTTGCTATCTCTATCTCTCTTTAACATTTCAGCTGCATATGCCCCGTGGACTACAGGGTGTCTGGCTCTATATGCCATGAATTTAGCTAGCCGCTTAACTATGTCAACATGCGAGCCATCGAATTGCCTATGCAGCACATTTAATGCGAATGATCTAAAAATCAGTTGGAAAAATATAAAAAAAAATCGCATTTTTTATATGACTCGCGCTTGTGGCTGATTAAAATTGCATATTTTAATTAACTGGGAGCCAGCCGGTCGGCGATACGCATTGAACTCTAATCCGGCGGGCAGCGGTTGCCCGGGCAAAAAACCTAATCCCGTAATTTCAACGGCCAACAACGTTTGGGCTATGCACATATACATATACATATATTTAGAGTAGTGGGTGAGCGTGAGTGTGTGTGTGTGTGTGTGTGGTCGCGTGACCATTGTCCCTAACCTTAGGCGATTGCCACCCCGTTTAAAATCTGACTAACGCACAACATTTGCAATAACCGCGGGCGCGTTTTTTGCAGCCAACAAAAAGTTGCCAAAAATCGCAGTGAAAATTTTGAGAAATTAAATAAACACAAGTGCAAAAAAATTGGGTGGCGGTGCGGTGCGGTGTGGTGTGTGGTGCTGGCCTATGTGTATCAATGAAAATGGTTCGCATGCAAATCGAGCGGCGGCAGCGGCGGCTGCTTCAGAAAAAATGGCTTGCAAACACAACAAAATGGCCGCCGCTGGAAGCGACAACTTGGCATGCATGGCCAGGAAGCAGGCAGCAGGCAGCAGGCAGCGGCAGCGTCTGGCAAATATTGCCACAGATTTTTCAGGCAAAAGCGCATAAATCGCTGATACGTCGAAATCCGTGCGAGTCAAGTGAACATTCGGACGTTGGCCGGGGCAAGGAGGCAGCGTGACGCAGTGGCAGCGTGCATGAAATCCATTGAACAAACAGACCGACGGCAGTTGATTTTTAATTAACTACAAAAGCGCTTTATGGCCGCCACCGACGCCGCCAACGTCGCTTGGCCAGACACAGCTTGTGAAGGCGCCGGATACATGAGGCGTGGCAGACAAAACGTGGCATTTTCTGTTATTGTTTGATTTTTGGCAACGTAAAATGTGCTGACCAGTGCTGCCCATGCAGGATTACCAAAATGCAGCACAGCGTAAAATGTTGCCACATAACTGTATAAACACGCACACAGCCACAGATATATGTGTGTTCATATGTGAGCACTATACACCGACATTGTCGCTATGCTATGATAACTTTGCGCTTCGTTAATCGCCGCAGCTGTGCGCCTAATTTTCATGTTTTTGCATCCTCGCAATATGTAGCCAAAAGCCAAACAAAACTCTGCTAAAAGTCAAGTCGAAAAATTGTCCCTGCACTTGATTGGCACACGTGTGTGTCGCTCTCTCGCTCTCCCTCTTTCTCTCACGCTCACTCTTATTCTGTATGTAGGTGGGGCCTGGGGCGAGCCAAAATGGCGGCTGCCATTGCACAGTACAGAACGAGCTCGTTGCTCTAATTAGTGAAAATTGGCAACGCAAGTCGGTTGGAAAGTTCGTCACCAACACTGGCAAGCGTTCGTTGTTTTTGTTGCTACTGTTTCCGTGTTGTTGGATTAAAAATCGCGCAGCCGTGAAAATTGCTCGTTACGGCTACAGTTGGGTATGCTTTGGTTTTATAACGCAACAAGGCTGTTGTCGAACCAGGTAAAAAAGAGCCTTTAACTGGTTACGTGCAAGCGGTGTGCACTAATTAAAGGCGTAAGACTTTTATCAGAATTCCTTAATTGCAGTTTTTAAATACATTTCACTTGAAATTTATTGAAATGCTGAGCAACACTAAATAATTATATAACAAATATAAATTATATGGGCTATCAATATTTAAGAAAGTATTAATGCAGTTCAATTTGACAAGTACGAAGCAAAAGTGTGAAAGAATAAGTAAAATAACGGAAACATAATCGAGGCGCAACTGCTTGTGCATGCATCTCTATTTATAGAAGTGATCACAGTTAAAATTGCATACATGTGTAAATGTGTGTGTGTGCTTATATTTAGCTCATGAAATGGTAGGCAAAATTTTGGCTTTGTCTCTCTCACACTCTTTAATTTATATTTCGACCGTTAAGCAAAGAGCAAGGATAAAATGGTCGCAACATTTGTGGTAATTTGATGATTTCCAGCACGTGCGACAGAGATGTCTGTCTTCTTTATTGCATGGGTGAGTAAAGCATTTCTTAATGTTTGAGTGATAAGGTGCGCTGCAATTATGTCAGATCACTGCTTATGCTTCGGTAAGTATGAAAATGCTTTAAAATAATGTAAATTTTAACGAAAAAAACACGATAAAGAAAACATTTTAACAGTGATTAATCGCTGGCCGCAAGCCCGCTAGGTGTGTGAGAGGGGCTGACCTTTTAAAAGCTTAGCGACGTGCACCTGTCCAACTCATCCTTGCCAACGCCCACCCGCTACTTTCTGCACCCTGCTAAGCTCAAGCTTAGCGCTTTTTGTGTAAATTTATGCAGCTTCGAGGCCAATTTTCGCTTCACACAATATTTGTCTATGGTTACACGCTTCGACAGCCAAAACTGTAAAGCAAACAGGAAGCGAATGTACAAAAATCTCTCCCCTGCCAACCACTCATCAGCCCAATCTCACCTCCCTTCCTTTCTCTCTCTCTATATCCACCTTGGTGTGTGCCTGGGGCCACAAACGCACTTTGCGCCGCAAAAGTCCCGCGAGAATTGAGAGGCAGCAAGAGCGACCCTTAAACGCTATCGACACACACACACACACATAGAGTGTAAGGCGTAAAATTGCGAAAGCGAAATTGCTCTCAAGTGTTTGAATAATGGAAAATTATGAAAAATAAAATAACAACAACTACAGCAGCATCGACGGGGGGCCTGAAGTGGTCCGTGCGAGTTTTTGCGGCCAGTGCAACAATGTGGCAGCGCTGCGTGGTGGGTGGATGGTGGATGCTGCGCTCAGTGGCTTGATGTTTGCCCGCAGGCCACTTTATTATTGTTGTCTGAGTTTTTTTTTATTTTTGGAAATTAACGAAAATCTGCTGATTCCAGCTCATTGCCATTTTAATTTCATTTGATTCAAACACTAAACAAACAAGGACAAGAGACAGGGGAACACAAGTGCACTGAGCGAAATAGCTAGTATTAAGATATAACTTGTATGAATTATATAGATTACTTTAAGTTGACTATTTCTAAAACAGTTTCACGGCTTTAATCTCAGCTCCACTTGAGCTGCCATCAAATATGGCTGATTTATTTCTCTAAGTGTACTTCAAGTGTTTTGTGGGTGGGCGTTTGGTTAATGTGTTTATTATTGCTACTGAGAGTTGCAATAATAATAATGATGATTAGAATAACAATAATAGTAAGAGCGATTGCCTAATTGCTGCACCGCAGGTGGCCCAGATCCCGAGCCACTTGATTGTGCAACCCACACATCAAAGCGGCAGCAAAAAGGGGCAAGGACTGCCTCCTACCTCCTCTGTGACTGGGGCGCAAATCCGAGCCACAGCGATCACACAATGGCCCAATGAGTGAGCACATTCTATGCCGACCCTTTTTTCTTCCTCTGTTCAAAAACTCTAAAAGCCAACAAAAATATTTAAAGAGATAAATAGAGAGAGAGAGGGAGAGGGAGGGTATGAGAGTGAGAGAAAGAGGGATATAGTGAGATGCTTACTAATTTCTTGGCGACGACAAAGATAAATATTTGCGCTGCGCTTGAAGAGTTTATTGACTTGGCTACGACTACGACTACGACTCTGCCTCTTATGGCCATAATGAAGATCAGCAATATGATAATAATGCTGCTGCTGCTGTTTGGGAATTGGGAATCGGGAATCCGAAAATGAAATCACCTCAATCACTTGAGCTGCGGGATTAGGCGTATTTGACTTGCACGCACCAACGAGAACAAAAAGGCGACCCAAGACTGAGATTGAGGCCTCGAGCTGAGCGACTGAGCGGCTGTGTGGTCAACTCTCTCGCGCCTAGCTACTGTTTTACCCAGCAGCAAGAAGCAGAGAGCAAGCGAGAAGCGGCGACAGCATGCTTGGCCACTCGACTGTCTAAATAAAAATAATAATTGTAAATGATGAAGTCAAAATAAGCAGATCATTTAAATGGCGATGGGAACCCAATTGCGCATACTATTTGTCAGTTTTTAGTGTTTATCATAGATATACCCTGTAATTGCTGCCAGATATAAGCGCTAATAGTGAAGGACTGTCGTAGGACTATAAGCTGAGCTTAGACTTGACTGTGATGATAGCTGATAATTCAGTGCAGATTCAGCTAGAGTTAATTCTATTTATTATCAAATATTTTTCAAACGTGTATTTTTATTAGCATTTTTAATAATATTACACAAAAAATACGAATCTTTAATGCCTTTCCAAAACCTCCTATATTTTTATTTTAATATTAACTATAATTTATCTAAATAGGCAGCCTCTATATATATGTGTTATACTATAAACTAAATATATTAAATGTTGTTCAGATATATTTTTATATCCTCATTGTATTTGAATTGATTAGCTCTATATTGTTGTATATTAAATTCCTCTGTTATACAGCTTTTCTTTGTTAAGCATATTTTATAAAAATCCTAGTCACTTCATATTTTCTGATACATTTAATATATATATATATATTTTATATTATATAATAATAAAACTGATATTTACTTTTCAATTTCAGAGCACAATAGATTCAGCACTTTTACAGGGTATCTATAGTGCGTATACTCTTGCCTGCTAGCACGCTAACTTGTTCGGTGATTGCTGTTGCTGTTGATGCTGTTGTCTTAGGCAAGATTTTTAATAATTATTGCCACTTATGGCATTGCCATAGAGCCGCAGAGAGCCAGCAGAGCGAGAGGCATTTGCTGGATGCGGAATCCGAAGCGGACGCGGACATGGGCGTAGGGGTCGTTAAGTGGTTGGCTCTCGAGGCACTTGGCATGCAAATATGCTAAACAGTAGCCGAGTGGCTGCCCATGGGGCCACAACTGGTAGACGCCGCTCAAGTTGATTATGCTGCTTAAGTCAATGACGAGCGATGACGGTGCACAAGATTTTGGATTTGGCTTCTTTGGCATAATTGTTATTGTTGTTGTTGCTGTTGTTGTCTCTGTCAGAGACAAGTTTCAAGCCTTGTATGTTAATTAAGCCAGCTAGTCGCTCAGCCTGCCCCCTCTATGACCAGCAACTTTTTGGCTTAGAGCTGCTTGCCCAATTTCAATTAAGCTGTTTGTGAAATATCTAAAACTAAAAAATCAAATCAAACTTCAAGCTCAGTTCCCAGAATCAGTTACAAACCCCGGCACATATCCTAATCCGCTTAGAATGCGACGGCTTTTGAATTTGTCGCCTAGGCGAAGGCGTCAACTGCGCCCGCGGGCTAATGTCACAGCAGCAGCAGCAGCAGCAACTGCAGCTTGTTACGCAATTTAATGCTAAATAGCTGTTGGTTATCTTAAGCCGAACGACAAACACGAACTACAAGCATAAACACAACCCCTTGGCACACACTCGCACACACCTTTCAAGTGAGTTGGGCACACGCAAATGTCAACAAATGTCGCACTTGGCGTGCTTCCGCTGTGCGGTGGGTGGTGCGGGTGGTTGGGCAAGTTTAAACATTGACCGGCAGCATATTGTCAAAGCGACGATAATCCTTATCAAGGACGCTTTAGCCAGCAAGCGCGAAAGCCCACCTTCAATCATCAACCCGCTAATCACTCAACAACAACAACAACAACACGAGGCGTCGCTATCAGCGCCATCAATAAATTGCTTACAAATTAAATTGTCAACTTTTGTCGTCACAGAATTTGCTGTTTGTTCGTCCAGAACACTAATGGACTTTGAATGGCTTGAACCACCACCACCACCGGCAGGCGCACCACTCGCTGAGATTTGTTGCTGATTTGCCTAATGTGAACTCCGGTCACGGCGCTGTGCTCCACGGAGGGTTGTAAGCGCCGCCCGGGGTAGGCTTTGCAGGCCTTGGAGATAGACATAGAGCGACGAGAGCTCGCTGCGTGTTTACATTGGCAATGATACGGCCTAACCTCAGTGCTGAGGGCCAGCCCGTGGCCCATTACTCAAATTAAGTGAATCAGGACATTGTTTTGCTGTTTGTCTGCCGGCGCAGGCAGCGAAGCCAGACAAATGCTAAACGCTGACAACTAAATAAACAGCAAGAAGTTCACATAGAGCCAGATTGCAATGCAGATGGATGTGGCTGCTGAACAAAGGGCCAGCTGGGCGGCGGGCGGGCGGGTGGTAGCACTCAATTGGTTTCGCGCGTAGCATTAAAACGAGCGTGAAATTAAGGACTACGACGATCGGATTCACGCTTTAACCACTTCGTAATTGAAATGGCAGCTTGAAGCTGACTAGCTAATGGTTGGCCTTAAGCCTTGCCTTGCTAGTAAGTGGTTAAGGAGATAGGAAGCTCTTGGAGGAAACTCGTTCTATTACTATTAGAGCTCTACTTTGATACCTTGGTTGATTGAATAACTCTGGCTGACTTAATCATTTTAAGACTTATATGTGAAAGACTTGAATTTACTTATCGAATATATGCTTCTTTCTTTCCTTGCTTCTATACCCTCACTGCCTGTCCTTCGTCTATTAAAGCTTGTCTTAGCCCCTGTAACTTCTGTAGCTAAGAATTTACCCTATCTAGTTTCTCCTTCATCCACCCGCTTTGCTTTTATTTCAAATGAGTAACGATAAAGCTGCTCCGCTTGAACCCCTTTAATCAATTCTAAATTCACTTAGACATCGACTTACCTCCACGCGCTCTTCCTTGAGATCGACCTTTAGGGCAAGCTGCTCGCGTAGCACAACATCTGGATAGTGCGTTTTGTCAAACGTGGCCTCCAGCTGCTCCAGCTGCTCCTCGGTGAAGATGGTGCGATGACGACGCTTGCGTTTCGGCGGCGGCCCATGCCCCAAATGGCCTAGGCCCAAATGATGCTGTGCATGGTGAGCCAAATGCGAGTGCGGATGGGCGTGCGGATGATGCGGATGATGGCCGTGAGCGGAGAGTCCAGCGGCCGCAGCCCCATGTCCACTGACGTGCGCCTGCATCTGGGCGGCGGCGACGTGGGCAACGGCCGCGGCATGCATATAATTGGGATAAAAGTTGGGATAGGCCACTGCAAAGGCAAAAGAAACGCTGATGAAATTCATAGGAAAAACAAATAAAATCGAAGGTGGAGCGAAAAATTCTTTAAAATGCGCATAACAAAGCTGAACAGGCAACGGTTGCCACGTGGCGCGCTTCCGATTGCAATAAAGGCCCCTCGGAAAAAAGGAAGAAAACTTTGACGTTTTAATTCATTCATGCCTAGGCGACGGGGACTTTTGAATTTGAATGTGGCGCATGTGGAAGCCCGGGCCAGCGTTTGCATAAAATTCCGTGAGGGAATCCCACGCTCGAATCAACATAAGACCCCAGCCAATGGACTGATAATAAACCTCCGACATACAACCCCCCTGGGGAAGGACTTACAATGCAAATCCTCTCGCCGCAGAAATGGAACGGAATGCGAAATCATCTTTCACGGATCAATGCCTAATTATGAATAATGCCATTCAGGCAAAAAAACGGAAAATGGTTCAATAAATTTCGGAATCCGTTCAACGATCCAAAACAGATAACCTTAAGGTGTTTGCCAGCTCAGCAGAAGCCAAAGGCGTGCCACTAGCTGGGCACGTCAATCAGCCACCCACCCACTGATTGGCTTGGTCGTCTCTCAGCCATTCACTCTACTCACCTAGGAAGTCCGATGGGGAGGCAGCGAAGCCACTCGCGGCTGCCGCCGCCAGATGACCGAGATGCAATCCAGGATGCTGCAGCATGGCAGGAACCCGTTGCGGTCGGATCGGACTGGCTGCGGCGCTAGAGCTCGAATTGGAGTTGGGCGAGGCTGGCGACTCGGTGCTGCGCTTGACCAGGCCCAGGCCCAGGCTGCCATTGATGCTAATGTTATTGTGATTGATGCTGTTGTTGTTATTGCTGTTACAGTTGTTGTTGCTGCTGCTATTGTTGTTGTTGCTGTTGTTATTGCTGTTGCTGGCCGCAGCAGCTGCTGCTGCATTGCGTGATCCTAGAATGCTGTCTATGGTAAAGAGTGATGCGGCAGCAGCGGATGCTGCTGTGGGTCCACTCACGCGTGGACGCTCCTCATCCAAAATTGTGGCACCCGACTGGGAGCCATCATCGGAAGAGGGCGTTTGCGATTGCGGCTGTTGTTGATGTTGCTGCTGCTGTTGTTGCTGCTGTTGCTGCTGCAGCACAGATTGAAGCCGCTGGCCCAGATAGCCGCATTGCTGGGAGTTTAGGAGCATGGCGGTGGTTAGATGATAGGCGGCATTGCTGGCATTGGCAGGCGAACGTGAGCGTTGGATTTGACGCGGCGGCTGCTGTTGCTGCAGCTGCTGCTGATGATGCTCGCCCAGATCGGAGGCGCAGCGCTTGAGCACGTACGCCGCCGGCGGTGAATTCGTTTCGACCATGTGACCGAGTGTGCTGGGCGGTGGCGTTGGGGGCGGTGAGCCCGGTGAGGGACTGGGCGTGCTGACAACGGTTATCTTGAACTTGGCCTTGGCCGAGCTGCTGTCGCTGCTGGCGCCTCCCGCTAGCTGCGACGGCGTGGTCCACAGTGACGACAGAATTTTGGCGGATTTTGTGTTGCGACTTGTATAAGAAATAATTGTTACGTTTGCTATTGGCAATAGTCACTGTAATTGTAGTTCACACACACACGCACAAACACACGCACGCACAAGCACTTGAAACACACACGCGACGTGTTTTGGCTTGTGACTGAGAAGATTTTGCGTGCAACTGAAACTGAACCCTTCTTGTTCGCTCGAGCTACGAAACTGTTTTGAATGCGACGTTCAGTGACGGCTGCGGCGGCAGCAGCAGTAGTAGCAGCAGCGACGACGCGCACGACAAGTTGTCAATCTCTCTAGCATATAAACTCATGCACTCCCTCTCTCTAGCATTCACAGGCACACACACATGGCAGACATTTTCGTGCTTTGGCCAATCAGAGTGCAGCTGGACTTAGCTGAGTCCACGCCTTTGCGCTCGCTCTGGCTACCATATTGTAAGTATAGAAAGAGAGAGAGAGGGACAGAGAGAGAATGGGCGCGAGAGCATGTAGCTGCTGAGAGCGCGTAGTATAAAGTTAATGTGGTTGTTGTTGCTATTGCTTTTGCTCTTGCTCTGCTTTGGTGGTGGTGGCTGATATGGTGGACGCCCTCTGGCTGCCGCTGTGCGTTGCGTGAGTGCGACATCTACTTCATCCGCATTTACCGTTACCCGTTAGCTAGCCGCAAAGATGGCGCGCTGAAAAGATAATGCTGAGCTGTCTCTCAGCATAAAGCTTCCGTTTGCTACTGCTGCTGCTGTTCCGACGTGGGAGTGCTACTCTCTCTTGCTGCCGCAGTTGCTGATGCTACTGCTGCTGTTGCTACGTTTTTTGCTGTCTTTCTTTTCCCTTCTGACAGTTATTTATACAGATAAAGTCATCACTGACAGCCCCCGCGGCTCGCGCCAGCGTGCGAGCAAGCGAGTGCGCTATATATAGGCTAAGCAGCTCGCACTCACACTTAAACATTTTGCCGTAATGTGGAAAATTATGTGCTGGAGTTCGCGCTGCCGAGATTGGGCTTGCGCGGGGGGTTGCGAGGCTACACTGCTCTACTGTCGTCGTCGGCTGCGCTGCGCGGCGCCGTATCTTAAGAAGATAATGACTAAATTAATGCTTTTATGTTTTTGGCAACACATAAACATCATTATGCGCTCAATCCTCGCTCGGGCGCACGCTCCTCCAGCGTTGGGCCGGCGAGTGCGGGCATGGGCGACAGCTGCGGCTGCGTCTGCTTATGTATTGGCCAGTTGAATGTGATGGCTTGTATATAGACAGTGTGTGTGTGTGTGATTGTGTATGTGTGTGGGAATCTCTGAAGTCAGCGCCATTTACTGATTAACTGGATGGAGCAAGAGCTGCATTGTGCTATGTTAGATCGGGTAACGAGACATTGTTAACTGTACTTATGCACATGTATGCGTGTGTATCTGTGAGTGAGCGTGTGTGTGTTTATTTGTGCATATGAAAATATTTTAATCTAAAGTTTCTACATCAAACATGCCCAAATGCAAATCCCAAATGTCCTCCGGGCCACCAAGCCAAATGCAGCAAAAGCACAAACTAACCATTGACTAATGATAAATGCAGTGGCAGAGCCAAACCTAAACCCAAACTGGACGCCCCAAAACCATATGTTAAGCTACGTACAAGTTGAGTTGAGTGGAGCCGGAGTGGCTTATGTGCATGCAGCTCGTATGTAACCAACTGATTATGTGGCCACCGCCCGCGCTCTGTAAAAGGATGAAAGGATCTGAGCGACATGGGCGACATGTGCGACATGTGCGACCTGTGCTGTTGTTGTAGCTCTGCTACGCTCGAATGTTGTCAATGCTTTTAGAAATTATTGAATAATTAAGCATGCCAGCAGCAACTGCTGCAACTACAGCCTCGCACTCTTGCTGTCAGCCAACCATTGGAGCGTTAATAGTCAGCATCAGGCTTTGTGTGTGTGTGTGTGTGGGTGTGGTATTCGTAGTGGACCTCGCTCGTCTGTCTACTATTTGTTTTTGCTCTGAACTTCTTACATGAACCAAAACCAGCAACTCCCGACGGGAATTGGCGACACACACACACTCACACATGCACAAGCACTCACACACATATGTATATGAATGTAAGTGGAGTGCGCCTCGATAAGCTCAAAAGTTGTGCTGAAGCGGAAGGATCCAATTCTCCAACTTTAGCATTATTTGGATTTTTATTGTTATGCTCTTACAGAGGGTATTAGAAAATTGTTAGCTGGTGTGCAATATATTGATATATATTTAATATTGAATATATTTTAAGTTGTTATAGAAAGTTGTCTATAATATATAATAAATATATAATATATAAATATAAATATAATATATAAATATAAATATATAATATATAAAGTTGTCTATAATTAAATAAGCTCAGCGATCAGTGCAGATTTCTTAATGGGACTTGGAAAAAATGTTTCTCTTTATGGACTGCATAAGTTCATAAGAAAAATTAAATCTATTTAATATATTAAATAATTTATTTATTTAAAGTAATTAATATATGATATGCTTTTAAAAAACTAAGTTTTTGTCTAAAATTTAAGTTTTTAAATATTTGTTAGCTTTTAAAATATGAATTTTAGACTTAGAAAGTTGCTGACTTTTGTGTTATATTTATTATTCAATATTTTTGTATTTATGAAGAGCATTCAACATTGAAATATGACAATTCTGTGTATGCAAAATTTTCTCATTGAGTATTTTATAAAATGTTGTCTAGAATTTCTTAATTATGAGTTGAGTATTTAAATACTCATGTGGGCTATGTGGGAATATCTTAGAAATTATGTAGGAATATCTTAGTTATTTAGAAAATGTGCCTCAACTCTATTACAACTAAAGCTATGAAGCTAGAGTTATAATATCTAGCTTTGAATTTATAAAATGTTTTTTAATATTTATTTGTTTTCTTTTTTCCAAATTCCATTCCATATTTTCTTTTATTATATATTAATTATATATTAATATTATATTTATATATATATATATTTGTACTACAATTCTATCATATTTCGAGTTTCTAGCAACATTCATTGATAATCTGGAATAGACCATTTAGAAAGCTTCCTTATAAAACTCACTTCAAGCATATATAAGCTTCGGCTACTTCCGAGAATCCTTTCTCTTCCACTTTTTTTCAGCTACTCACAATTTTTTTCGCATATTTTTTTTGACTCGTTTTTTCTTTGTTTCTATCTGAAACTTTGATTCTGTGTTTTGCTCTGGCTGTGGCTGGGTGCAGGCACTTTTTGTTTTAGTTCGTAGATTGAATTTTAAATAACAAATTAAATTAACTCGACTAAGTATTGTGCGAGTCTTTGGCAACGTTTTCAACTGTGACTGCTCGAGCGTCCACTGGAAAAAGTTCAATTGGCAAAGGACTGTGTAAACACAGTGGGAATAAAAGGTTTTTCTACTTTTGCTACTTCCTTTGGCTTGGCCCGATGCTCGGTTCGTTTATCATGGATTTTTATTTTCATTTCGAATTCGATTTTTCAATTCGATTTTGATTTCGCGCCGGCGGCAATTTGTTGCTCTTTGCTTGAGCTTCAGCGCTTGCCAAATTAGAAAAGTTTCCATTTTTTTCTGCACTCACTGACGATTGCTTGGCATGGATGGGTTTGGGGGAGAGGGAGAAGCGTAAGGGTGTGCGTGTGAGCTTTGGGTATTTGTCTAGTTAAAAATTTAAGCGAATTGCGAATGGAAGCCATGCCGAAGCCAACTGCTGCCTGGTGCCTGCTGCTGACATTGATATGTTAATGGAATCGTCGTCCAGGCATCATCTAATCCTCGCCTCTCAGCCACCCTGTTCGACGCCGGTTTCCCATTCGCTTTTTACTTGTCAATTAAATGTTTAATCCAAATATCGTTTTATGCGTCGCAGTTGCGCAGGCATCAAGGGATCAAGCCCCGGGATCAGTATCCGGATCAGTTTAATCTTGCGATATGCGTAAGCGTGCAAATTGCTATGATTACGCATGCGTCATGATCAAATGCGCCAGCAAGAGACAGAGCAGCGCGCACTCAGCGTGCCAGAGCGAGAGCCAGTGACAACAATCGGGCACAACAAAAGGTGCAATAAAACCTTGCATGCGGCCGTACATAAAATGGAAAACTGGAATTGCACAAAGCCCTAATTCAAACTGAGAGAGACAGAGAGAGGACGAGGGCGAGCGAGAGCGAGCGAGTGATAAATGTGGATGAATGAAGCGGGGCGTGAGGCGAGCCAAACAAAATGGTTGCCTGGAGTGGACGATCCTGCAGAGCAGCAGCAGCTGCTGCCCCTCAAACACAAGCGAGTGCAAACAAGCAGCGCACACTTTGGTCTGTGCTCTGCGGGTTTCTGTTTGGCCATAAACAAATTGTAAATTGTGTTTTCAGACATTTGCGTTTATTTATATTGACATATCCTAACCATATAAATATGTGCCAGTTCCCTGAAAGATCTCCTCCAGATTTGCATTAATTTTAAAAGTTGAGGCTTAGGCAGAGGCGGGGATGCTTGAACTTCTTACTGCCCTCTTAGAGCTTAACTATCTTTTACTTTCTCTTGCAGACTTATATGTATGGCATATTCTTCATCGAATCTGCTCCGAGCTGATCTCGTAATCCGTCTTTTCATTGCCATGTGTTTTGCCTATAGACATTATTACACTAGGTGTCTTGTTTAATAAAGATTTTATACTTATTAGGGAGTATGTTTTAGATCCACATTCTATGCATTTTTATAGAAACTAAAGAGTATTTGTCATATTTACATTTAAATTTATATTTTTCGGCATTCTGAAATAGCTCGACCATTTAAGTTATTATCATAGTCTCTACCATTGACATTGAAACATGA